TTAAAATCTGTTTCTCTTGGACCATGCAGGTTTGAAACCTGCCAATGATAAAATTCATTTTCTATGAAAACACACCTTGACATATGCTCATGGTCGGTTTGCTTTAAAGCCGCTGAGACTAGTGTTTAGCCAAGTGGTTGTCATAACAGAATCAAAATCTGTTTCTATTGGAGTGCAACAGGTTTGAAACCAGTTGAAACATCACATTTTTTTCTATAAAAAAATGCCTTGAATATTGAATCATAGACAGTATCTCAGAGACTCATCTTCATCAATCTTAGCTGAGTTGTCGCCAGAGTCAAAATCTGTTTCTCTTTGAACCGTGCAGGTTTGAAACCTGCTAATGATAATATTTTTATCCTATGAAATCACACCTTGACATTTCCTAGTGAAGAGTTTTCTCAAAAACTCATCTTAAATGATCTTAGCCATGTTATTGCCATAACAGATTCAAAATCTGAGAAATGCATCATTTGACTGATTGCAAACCTGTAGGCTTTGATTGAAACATATTTTGAATCTATTGTGGCAATGATATGGAAAAGAGCATTTATGATGGGTTTTGAAGAAAACTATCCACGGGGAAATATCAGGGTTTAATTTCATAGAATAAAAATATCGTCATCGGCAGGTTTCAAATCTGCAAAGTTCAAGAGACACAGATTTTAACTCTGGCGACAACTTGACTAAGACCAATGAAGATCAATGTCTGAGATACCGTCTATGAGCCAACATTCAAGACACGTTCTCATAGAAAAAATGTGACATTCAACAGGTTTTAAACCTGCCACATTCCAATCGAAACAGATTTTGATTCTGTTGCGACAACCACTTGGCTAAAGACAACTTTGATCAGCTTGCAAGCTGACCGACCATGAGCATATTTCAAGGTGCATTTTTATAGAAAACAAATGTTGCAACTGGCAGGTTTCAAACCTGCATGGTCCAAGAGAAACAGATTTTAACTCTGGTGATCACTCAACAATTTCATCTTTGGTGGGTTTTGAACCCACGCAGACAGATTTATATTCTGTCATATTAACTGCTTGGCTAAGAACAGTTAGATGCACCTCCAATGGACCCATTCACAAGTGAATCCTCAAGGCATATTTATCTGCATTTTGTCAGTTCTTTCAATAATATGGTCACCGCAATTGATTCTTTTTTTCTACTCTTATCGCAAAAGACATCAGACTTCTCCTGGGCCTCTACTTCAAGACCTGTTTATCCAGCAATTGCTCAAAAAAAGTGCTGATGGCAGACCACCACAGTGGGCCAATGATGTTCGTGATATCTTGGGATTAACAACCGGGTCACGAGTGACAACTAACAACGGAAGGATCGCATATGGTTGAGCTCAAGGGTGATGTTAGAAATTAATGTTAGAACTGACAAAATGCAGGATAAATGTACCTTGAGGATTCACTTCTGAATGGATTAAATGGGAGTGCATCTAACTGGTCTTAGCCAAGCAGTTAATATGACAGAATCCAAATCTGTCTGTGACAGGTTCAAAACCTGTCAAAGATGAAATTGCAAGTGATCATCAGAGTCAAAATCTGTTTCTCTTGGACTGCGCAGGTTTGAAACCTGCCAATGATAACATTTTTATTTTATGAAATCACATCCTGTCCCATACCAAGCACTGCATTTCTGTGCGCGTCCTACATTATACGTCCATCTGTTGTCCAATTCAACACTGCTGGTATATTTATATTTTCATCATTTTATTTTCATGTCATGCTGAAGGATACTCCCAGCTACAGACCACAATGTATAGATGCAACAGAAGCATTCTCGCTACATTCTGCTGCAAAACTAGTACAAAGCAGTCACACCTGGGTTGCATTGAAAAAGATAAAACTGACACGAATGACATCACTTTGATGAATACTTCAAAATGTCTAACTGTCCCTATTTGCTTGCACTTGGGACTTGGGTCTCTGAGAATCTATACACTGCAAAATATTTTGCAAGCAGGTTTTGAACCTGCATGGTTTGAAAGAAACTGATTTTGACTCTGTTGCAACATCTACTTGGCTAAGACCAGTGATATGAAGCTCTCAGGAACGTACACATGGGTCGATGTCAAGGTGTGTTCTAACAGGGAAAAAAACAAACATATATAAATCATGAGGAAATGTCAAGGTGCGATTTCATGGAATAAAAATGTTATCATTGGCAGGTTTTAAACCCGCACATTCCAAGAGAAACAGATTTTGACTCTGGTGATCGCTTGACAATTTGATCTTTGGTGGGTTTTGAACCCACGCAGACAGATTTAGATTCTGTCATATCGACTGCTTGGCTAAGACCAGTGAGATGCACTTCCAATGAACTCATTCAGAAGTGAATCCTCGAGGCATGTTCATCTGCACTTTGTCAGTTCTTTCAATAGCATGGTCACTGTTGATTCTTTTATCCTTGATGCAAAGTGTCGGAGTTGGAGGAAGACGACGGCTAAACAATGTCATAACAGGTACGAGCGCAATGTGTCAGCGTTCGGTCGAGTCGCCTCGTCAAAAGGTTTCAAACAAATTTCTATTCTATTCCTACTTTTCCCGTATGATAAAATCTGCAGTACCTATGTCGAAGCATCTCAGTCCTTTACCTCGAGACTGAGATGTGAGCACCCATACCATCATTTACATTATGAGCTAACAAGTCCGTTTAGAATAACATTCTATCTAGGTACATACAAGAGTCCTTTACCTCGAGACTGAGATAATAACATTCTATCTAGCTCACTGTCCCCGTGCCCGTTAGCGTCAAGTCTCTACACAAAGTTCAATATATGACCAAAGTCTTGATGCAAACTCGGAATGATGAGTACAAGAGCAATTCAATTCTCTCCAAAGGTCTTGACTTTGTTGTTGAAGAAGAGCAGATTACACATCAAACTTTCAAGTTTGATCCTAATGCCAACCTGGGGAATGAGGAAGAATACACATCTGTCAAGGCTGAGATTCAAGGCAAAGATTCAAAAGAGCCATCTGGCCACTATTCACTTATGTATAAGGTTGAGGTGCACTGTATTTGAGACCTGCTCTTCTCTTGCTTTTTGAAAGTGTTGTATTGCAGTCTGTTTTCAATTCATCTGTTCAGCTGAGGGAAAACATTGCGAGTGACTGAACCAGATGCTTAGTCAAGCCTGGTTAGGCACACGATGATGTGCGGAGCGCAGTTAAGCGGAAGTGCTACTATGCATTGGCGCGCGCTAAGCAGATGTGAGGCGCGCATGCAGGTGGTTGGAGCACAGCGACTCTAGATGAGTTGAAGGGGGACCTAATAGGGGCTAAAAAGTGCAGACCACAAGGGACTACTTCAAAGGTAAACCTATAGGGAGAGGTATACAGTATGAGGGAAGTAATGTAGTATGTCGGAAATTTCGTAAGTCGGTTGCAACAGCGGGCCTGTGAAACTCAGTTTCAACTGTATTGATACCAAGTCATGATATTGACACATAAGTTCTATTCTTAAAACCCATTAGGGATATTTATACCAAAGTTGCATCATTGAAACTCAATTGAAACTGATTCGTAATATTAATGCCGGACCTAGACCTTGGTAATACATCAATTACAACGCTGTAGTCAACCGTCAATTCAGATGCCACACCAACCTCTCAACACCCCTTCACCAACAACTTCAGCCCTCATTAGTATCTTCTGCTCTACTTGTTACAGTTCTAATTTGTTGACAGATCTGCGCCTTTTCAATGTTACTAGTTCGCTGATTCACTTACATATTTCAGATTCTGCAAGCTTTTTACACCTAACTTCACCCTCCAGCACTTCTCCATCAAAGTGCCACACCACCTGCTTTGTCCCTGTTTCAATATAGATGCCTACCGATTTGCAACGATCCTGTGATTATTGTGGCGGATTCTTTTATCGCCAAGGATTCCGAACACACGAACAAGCTTGCCAGAGGCACTCTGAACAAAGGGGAGAGGATTTAGAGCTTGCTAGGGCCATTCATCAAGGTACATCTATACTAGCACCATTTTGATTTTACACCAATGTTAATTAATTGTAGAGCAAGCACAGGTGCATCAGGGTAGCGTGTTTGTTGGTGGATGTCTGTCCATCAGTAGCTCAACACTTCATAAGCTGTCACTTTCGTTTGTCCTCAATCACTAATACTGACTTGTCGGGGATTGATGCAAGCTATCAACAATCACTCAGAGGATGATGATTTTTATCTCGATAATCAGATGGACTACCAACATGATGTTGATGTGGGATGGACCAATTCAAATGGTATGTCTTCGTCATTTCTTTGTATCATCATGTTTTCAACTTACATCAATACAGGTGATCCACCACCATCTGGAACAGCATCACCTGCACCCCAGCACGACATTGATGATATCAAAGTGGAATACCACCCCAATAGTGGTAGACCCACCAAAGTGTACCACTTCAAGGACTATGGACGCAGTCCCGGTGCCCCACCAGCAGCTCCAGAAGCAGATCCTATGCCCTGGCAGCCATTTCGCACTTGTATCGACTTTGAGGTTGCGGAACTCGCTCACGATGCTGGAAACATTCCCGCTATTTCATCATTCACTGTGGGACTGGGTCACTGATTTACTTCAAGATCCACAAGTAGGTCTGAACTTCATCTTCGATGCACAAAGGCTGTCAAAGTTCAACGGCGAGAAGTTTGTTTGGTTCGTTCATGAACCATGGACCACTAACACATTCTGGTAGTATCAGGTAGGTCACGCTCTTATTAATATCATGTTAAGCATCTGCACTGTATATACCAACTGAATATCATCATAGTCGAAAATCCCACCAGACACAAAACCTCTTGCTTTCATTTTATATGCCGACAAAGCAAAATTGTCATCATTTGGTCGCACGAAAGGCTACCCTGTAGTCGCTCGCTGTGCTAATCTTCCTATTACGATTCACAATGGAGAAGGCTTGGATGGGGGGCACGTTGTTGGTTGGCTGCCTATTGTTTGTTCTACTCTTCCTTACTACTGATGGTCTCATTATTAATGCTCAGGACAGGTAAAGGAAGATAAGAAACATTTAGGAAAGCCCGCCTTTGTCAACTTCAAGAATGTGGTATGGCACACCTCATTTCTGAAGATTCTTGACTGTCTGGTGCCGCTATCGAGGTTTGGTTCTTCCGTCAAATGCTGGGATGATCTTATTCGCGTCTTCTATCTAATTGTACTAATACTATCTGCAGACTATGAAGAACAGTACATGTATTTCTAGCTCCTGAGGTACTATCAGATATCTCTGACATCTGAATGTGTTCACTGTTGTAGGGCTGTAATGGCATTGATTTGTGGTTTGATGGGCAAATTTCCTTGTCCTATCTGTCTAATACCTCGTGATGAGCTTTCAAATACTCTCAAGGTATATCCTCTCCGCACATGCACAGGAACTAAGGAATTACTTGCTCGAGCACGAGAATCTACTACATTGGAGGCAAGAGAGCAGATCTTGAGTTCCCAGAGCCTCCGTGATGTCAACATAAGTCTCGCTCTTATCCTTAGGTTTATCTTACTCAGTCTATTATGACTGTTTTCATTTTCATTTTCATTTTCAGAGTTCATTTGGCGTTCTGGAGCACACCGACGTTCACAGGGCTCTATCGCACGATAAACTCCACTTCAATGATGAGGGATTGTTCAGTGATCACAAGTGGCCCGAACTGCAAAAATGGGTTGAACATTTGGGTCGACAGGCCGCTGTCCAGATTGACAGCTTGTGAGTCATTTTTCCACTGTACTTATGTAGGTTTTTATTTATATTGTCAGCTTTCAATCGATTCCGCTGTAGAGACTCGCACGTCTCTATGCTGAATATGCGGACCCTTACCCACATAATCCCCTATATGTTCTGGCTCTCATCCATAGGATCAGTCTTACACGCACTTGCGCTGTAGAGACTTGTGCCTCTCATTGCATGATATGGCAGGTTTCACTAGGGAGTACATGGCACGAACTTGCAGCATCATTCTGTATGCTATGCACAGCTATTCCTATATGAGGCGCAGCTTTCCCGCGCACACTTCCTGCGCTTCACGATGTATATGCGCACGCGCTTTCCCGCGCTTGAGCGCCCTATAGCGCCAGCCATCCAGAAGCATCCATCCACTGTCCACCAAGTTCTCTAGTGCATGTATTTCCATTTGCCCTTATTTGCATATCATACCACCTTTATTCTTATCATGGACCCTTACTTACATATATCTTTACATACCTCACTCGGTAGCGCTTCGGCTCCGCATGACAGTGCTTAGGCACCATATAAGCGCCAGCATTACATACTATTACCAACTTTCCAACCTACCTACCACTCACCCACTTACTACCTAGCAGAAGATAGTTGAAATCTATACTTTGGCACCTTGTCTCTCAGCTTGCATCTCTCACCTCATCTAATATCTAATCATCACTTAAGCAAACTCACTCTTACTCTCTCTCATTTCCGCTCACGCATGCGCGCACCTTCGCTTTCCCGCACCTCGTCGTGCGCACCTGCGCTTTCACGCGCTTCTGTTAAGACCATGCACAAAGGGTAGGACTGATTCCAAGGGGCTTGGCTTCAGCTCGTGCGCTGCGCCCCTTACCCGAGTATGTGCCCTTAACTTCAGAATGAAGTCCGGAGAAAGTCCAGTGAAGTCCGAAGGACTTCCGGAGGAGCGTGGGAAACTTCGGAAGGACTTTCCGGACGAGTGCGAGAAACTTCCGGATGAGTGCGGGAAAGTTCCGGAGGAACTTCCGGAAATTACGATGGAGTTTCGTCCTGACGGGGATATGTATAATGGCTACTCAGGACTCGTCCTGAGTAGAAGGAAACAGAGGAAAGGCTGCAAGGACAAAGTCCGAAGCAGAATAGGTCCGGAGGACCGCGGGAAAGTTCCGGAGGAACTTCCGGAAACTCGGAGGAATGGAGGATCGGATGAGTGGATGAGTGGATGAGTGGATGAGTGGAGGATCGGAGGAGCGGAGGAGCGGAGGAGCGGAGGAGCGGAGGAGCGGAGCTCCGGCCTAGGGAATTCCTCCCTAGGCCTGAGATGGATGATTACTAAGTCGGAGGAATAGAACTGTTACGAGGACTTAGTGTGAAGACTAGTGCGAGGACTAATATGTGTATGATATTCAGACTGAGGAAATACAGGAGTATCTACTGGGGTTTATATACTAGAGGCAAGTCTGTGCAGATCAGTAAGCAGAGGGGTAAGGCTATGTACGAGCATGTGGAAATGTATTAGAAAATAAGACGGATCATAGGAAATGAACTCGGAGATGAAATGAGGTACGGAAAATGAGGAAGTCTAACTCAAGAAGGAACATACAAAGGGATAAGGCACGGAAGATAGACGCGGGTCGGATCCGGATGTCCGGAGATGAATGCGTGATAGGTCTGGGTCCGGAACGCAAGGAAGATAGACGTGGGTCGGATCCGGATGTTCGGAAGTCCGGAGACAGGTGATTACCATAAGGGGATGGGCGCTGATTTAAGGTTTGGGTTCGGACATGACAGATAGGTCGGATCCGGAGATCCGGAGATGTGGATATCAGATCTGGCATCCGGATATCAGATGCAGGAGTACAGGGATCCGGACGGATAGAGGATTGGGTCTGGAGACATGGACAGGAGGTCCGGAGGTCCGGATGAGGCGTGGGAACGTCGTCAGATGTTGGTCCGGAATGCGGGATATGACAGTATCCCCCCTTTAAGGCCGAGCCCTCGAGGCTGAAGACTCAGGAAGTTCGGAACGGAGATTGCTGGTATATGGCAGAGGACAATGATGGATGGATTCCGGAGGATTGGTTCCTATGAGCTGAAAATCTCCGGAGGTTTCGGAAATGTTCCTGACACACACATGGTTCATTATGATGCCTAGTACTTCATCTGGAAACTGGACGTCATAGACGGTGGTGAAGAATGGTGATGTGATGTGAGGACAAATAGGTTTCCGGAGTGGAAGTCTGGAACACTTTGAGGATAATTCCGAAGGTGACTGGAAGTCCGGAAAATGCGTGGGAAAATCGGAGGAAGCTTTCAGAGCGGAGGAGGTTGTATCAGGACAGTGGAAATGCAGCGAGTGCAGGACAAGAGGGCAAGAGTGGATGCGATGCAGGCCTCTTTCTGATGTGACGGAGGAGTCCTGTGAGACATATCTTTCTCCATGAAGCAGAGCTTGTACTGAGGTACAGCTAAGGATAAGTGCATCATCGGAAATCCGGAAATTAGCCCCTATGACCGGAAAATGATCGGAGATGTAATCGCATGATGACTGATGAACTTCCGGAGTGCAGGAAGTGAGAAAGGAGTGCTATGAGGCATGATTTCCTTTGTACGGAGGTCTGAGGTTGAATGGATTTCGATCTGCAATGTGTGCTATCACTCGAGCCGGAAGTGCGTCAGAGGAATCTGCTGGATATGACTGTGAGCTTCCGGAAATTAGCCCCTAAGACCGGAAATGTTCCGGAGCTTTGGTTGCACACTGCGAGAGGTCATGGGCGGAGTTTCCAGGTGCACTGAAAGTTAATGCAAATAGCAGGATTTTGCACACGGTGTGAGGCTTTTTGATAAACACGCATGGTGGATGGAAATCCTGATGATGGGGCGGATGGATCCGAATGGTTCGGAGTAGGGCTATGGCGTGGGAACCAACAGGAGTCGGACGGAAGGATGATGATAGCAGAGGAATGGGTCGGAAACACGGAGATCAGAAACACAAAGGGTCAAAAACGCGGAGGGTCGGAAATGCAGAGGAAGGATGGGAGTGCAGAGAGGATGTCTTTCCGGAATATTCGATATCCATTGGTACAGCTGCTAGAGCAAAAGGATAGCTAGTGTATAGGCTCATAAAGGACGGAGCAAGCTGTTTGATGGGCCGGAGATTGCGTGGATTGACAACATCTGCAAAGACGCGATTTTCCGATGGAACTCCGGAAATGCTTTCCAGGAGGTTTCGGAAGGGATGCAACAGACCGGAAATCAATGGTCCGGAGGTCAACACTGGTCAGGTGGAGGTGGATACTGAAATGGGCCGGCTCCTTCTAGCTCGCAAGTCCTGCAACAGGCGACTGCGTTAACTAGGGATATATAGTCGGTTTTATCGGTGGAGGTGACACAGTGGACTTGGAAGTGGGTTTGTCAGATTAGGGTCGGATGTGGTCGGAAAACATGATAGGAGGTCCGGACGTAAGTGTTTGGCAATGCCAGGGTCTATGGTGAAATATCCGATGGGAGTCAGAACGGATATTGAGTCGGAAAAGCGGAGGAAGAGAACAGATCATCGGAGGAGATGTATGTGATATGACAGAGGTGTTTGCAAGTGGTTCGGAATTCCGGAGTTCCGGATGATAGGGGCTATGGCGTGGAAACCCATAGGAGGTGGATCGGAACATAGAGGAAGTGAGGTGGAAGTGCAGTCAAACACGATGGAACACTAGGCAGTGAAGTCAAATGCATCGGATGACTATCAATGGCCTAGAAAGATCATGGATGAATAGTTCCGGATGTTTTCGAATGATATGCAATGTAATGTGCGCTTTTCCCGCGGTTTTCCGGAGCTGATCCGGCCGGAAATACAACTGAATGGTCCGGATAGGTTATGGGTCGGATAGGAAAGCTGCACATGCATGAATGACTGTGCAAGACAGTGGAAATTGTTCTTTTATGGGACGGAGCAAGTAAATTCCGGATGGAATACAAGCTGAAGAGGGTGAAGTGAATACTCAAGCGGAGTCCCTATCCCCCCTTTTGGAAGATGTTTCCAAACATCAATGGAGGAAAAATGGGCACAGGGTTCCGGCAGGAGCTTCGGATTTTCGGAGGAAACTGGACGTGAGTCACAAGAGTGAACAGAATGGAACGGAAGATACAATGCAACGCAGGAACTGTAGTGCTAAAAACTCCGGAGGTATCACCAGTGCTTTTCTGGATCCGAAACAGATTCCAGAGAAGACACTATTGAATGGTGAGGGACTTTAAGACAGGAGCGGAAGCGGGTCCGAAGCAACTACAAGCTATTGCAAAGTATATCCATTCCAAATGGAGGCGGTCCAGAGACAAGGGGTGCATCGGAGGTAGGAGTAGGAGCCTTCATGAAGAAAGCCACCGGAAATCCGGAGTATTGAGCTCCGGAAATAGGGGTAAAGGTCGGACATTGGTATCCGGAGAAAAAAAGGACGGGAGGACAGATGGAAGGATTGCAGAGTGGAAAAGTGAGGACGGAGGATGGACAATTGTATAAAACATGTCCGGGCTATGGCATGGAATACCCATAGGAGTGTTTCGGATCCGGAGCAGGTGTAACTTGTCCTGGAGCGGAGGAGTGAACAGATCTTTCGGAAACATGGAGATTTGACAATGGAATGGACGGATGAGCTATAATGCGAAGAAATACTTTGGTACTGAAAAGTCCGGACGTCCGAAGATATCCAAAGATATCCGGAGCTTATCCGAAGCTATCTGAAGCTATCCGGAGCCATAACATGAAGGAATACTTTGATACTGAAAAGTCCGGACGTCCGAAGATATCCGAAGCTATCCGGAGCTTATCCGAAGCTATCCGAATCTTATCCGAAGCTATCTGGAGCTATCTTCAACAATTTCCTGGACCCGGAGGAAAATGGGCAGGAACTGGAGTGGACGTGGTATCAGTAACAGTAAAGAACAATCGCAAAGCATGTTTATTCTGATCCGGAAAAGTTCAGAGATGACAAGGAGCAAACCGGAGTTATAGATCGGAGGGGCGGAGACCTTCATCAAGAAAGCCAATAGAGATCCGGAGTTACAAAACTTCCGGAAAATAGGGGTAAAACGCGGAGGGGTTTGGAAAGTTGTTGATTTCGGACGGGAAGTCGGATGTAAGACTGACAGGCTTCTGGAGAGGAACAGATGGTTTTCCAGGACCTACTCCCGGAGAATGAATCGGAGGAGCTCCGGAGTTTTGGTTCGAAGGTCCGGAGGTGGATAATGAAGCCAGGAAATGGTCAGGAATTTGCATAGGATGTAACGGAAGCAAAATTCCTATCCTCCCTTTCGGGAGACATTCCCAATGTCGGAGGAGAGTCAACAAAGAACTTCTGGACGATGGAAGGGAAAATAGGGGCTAGAGCGGAGGAAAGAGTACCATCCGGAAATGGAGGCAGGAACCCGAGCGGGCCATTGTCAGAGGAATCAAAACCCGAACACTTGGCAGGAAAACCATCATGAAAGACGGAGTTCCCCTACAAGGAGGGTAATGGATACCAATACAAGGTGAATGCTAAATGGGTGGCGGATATGAATGGTGGATAGGGGTCCGGACTTTGACCGGAGGAGGTGCCATCCAACATGGAGGCGGACTGGAAATCAACCAGTGGAGGGAAAACATGGCTAGTCCGAAGATAGGGGTTCCGCAAAAAAGCGGATTTGACGTCGGAGGTCTAAGGCATTTCCTGTAGTACCAATCGGAAAGGAGGTCTGCAAAATACCCTATTGATCAACGGATCATGGTGGGTGAGCAAGTATATTCTAGGTGGTACGAGGAGAATCCAAATGAGTTGAATGTTTGAGACATTCCGGAGTTGACTTTGCCAGTTCAGGAAATAGTTCGGAAATGGAAAACGTCGGAGTTACAGGGAACTGTGGGGCGTCGGAAAGATAGGATCGGATCAGGGAATTACAGGACATCAAGTCCGAAAACCTATTTGTTCTGCCACGGAGGTGGCAATCCTGTTTGGCTTCAGGACCGGAGTTTCATGATAATGAGGTGGAAACGACAGCAGAGCATGAAGGGTGGAAATTGAGCATTCCGGCGGAAGTGTTACAGATGTAGGGAACGGAGAAATGAGCTCCGGAAAATCCGGAGGTTTCATCGGAAATAGGAAACAGGGAAATGGAGGATTCAGAGGAGGAATACACAGTTTCCAAGGGACGGTGTCGGATCCGATTTCAGGTATGATCTAAGGATTCAGTATACTCGGTAAGGTGTGAGTCTGAATATACTGTTAAGACCATGCACAAAGGGTAGGACTGATTCCAAGGGGCTTGGCTTCAGCTCGTGCGCTGCGCCCCTTACCCGAGTATGTGCCCTTAACTTCAGAATGAAGTCCGGAGAAAGTCCAGTGAAGTCCGAAGGACTTCCGGAGGAGCGTGGGAAACTTCGGAAGGACTTTCCGGACGAGTGCGAGAAACTTCCGGATGAGTGCGGGAAAGTTCCGGAGGAACTTCCGGAAATTACGATGGAGTTTCGTCCTGACGGGGATATGTATAATGGCTACTCAGGACTCGTCCTGAGTAGAAGGAAACAGAGGAAAGGCTGCAAGGACAAAGTCCGAAGCAGAATAGGTCCGGAGGACCGCGGGAAAGTTCCGGAGGAACTTCCGGAAACTCGGAGGAATGGAGGATCGGATGAGTGGATGAGTGGATGAGTGGATGAGTGGAGGATCGGAGGAGCGGAGGAGCGGAGGAGCGGAGGAGCGGAGGAGCGGAGCTCCGGCCTAGGGAATTCCTCCCTAGGCCTGAGATGGATGATTACTAAGTCGGAGGAATAGAACTGTTACGAGGACTTAGTGTGAAGACTAGTGCGAGGACTAATATGTGTATGATATTCAGACTGAGGAAATACAGGAGTATCTACTGGGGTTTATATACTAGAGGCAAGTCTGTGCAGATCAGTAAGCAGAGGGGTAAGGCTATGTACGAGCATGTGGAAATGTATTAGAAAATAAGACGGATCATAGGAAATGAACTCGGAGATGAAATGAGGTACGGAAAATGAGGAAGTCTAACTCAAGAAGGAACATACAAAGGGATAAGGCACGGAAGATAGACGCGGGTCGGATCCGGATGTCCGGAGATGAATGCGTGATAGGTCTGGGTCCGGAACGCAAGGAAGATAGACGTGGGTCGGATCCGGATGTTCGGAAGTCCGGAGACAGGTGATTACCATAAGGGGATGGGCGCTGATTTAAGGTTTGGGTTCGGACATGACAGATAGGTCGGATCCGGAGATCCGGAGATGTGGATATCAGATCTGGCATCCGGATATCAGATGCAGGAGTACAGGGATCCGGACGGATAGAGGATTGGGTCTGGAGACATGGACAGGAGGTCCGGAGGTCCGGATGAGGCGTGGGAACGTCGTCAGATGTTGGTCCGGAATGCGGGATATGACAGCTTCGCATCAGCCAACCAGTAGCGCCTACTACCAGATTCTTGCTGCACTTGCTTCCCCTTTAGGGTCGAATGCACTTGTCGTCTCAAGTATAGCAGACTAGGCAATGCGCGACCTTACAACACTTATAGATACAGTCAGGAGCCTTGTTTGTTCCTCTCAGTATTGTTGTTTCTACACCAAACCTATAGTTTGGTTCGGCATTTGGAAAATTTGCCCCAAGAACCAGACCAAACTGGACTTCGGCAGCACTAACCTGGTTCGTGATGCCATGTCACTTGCCATGTTTGATTCCTGCTACCTTTAGGTAGCTGGGTCTTTGTCGACCATTCATATGGAAAATAACACAGAATTTGCACATTTACAAATTCAAGTGTATATAAATGGCAATATTTTCTCATCTTTGTTCGATGAAGTATTCTTTTCTCACGCTTCTCTAGGGCATTTCCGTTTGTTTGTGATCAAAATTGATTCTTTTACCATCGCATCTTGTATTGTATCCAAGTCCAGTGTTGTTGCCGTGCAGCTCTACCCACCTTGTCTAGTAACTGCCTTTGGTGTACCAGGTGGCAAACAGCATAATTAGGTGGAGCTGACATTGCAAGGAAAGGCTCAAAGTCTCGGCCATTGTCCTGGAGTGATAGTCTGGTGTGCTGTCACCTTATTAAGTTATACAAGATGCAGCCAATTAATCAGTAGGACTCGCATGTCATAATATTTCGAATGATATTAGTAGTGAACACATACCGATCACAAAGTAAGGACCTTTGTAAAGCCAAAGACGCTATACACAAAGATCAAAAGACCAAAAGTCAGACGCTGAAAAATAAACTCAAAGTGATCCCTCCATTGCGACTACAGGGCTTGCAAGACCATGGTCAGGTCTATAGAAAGCAAACCACGCATGGTCAGCGCGCCTTTTCTATGGTGGATTTTTGGTGACGGTTTGATTTGCCGTGTTGCTGCATGTATTTTTAAAGTCCATTGTATTGACTGTTGTATTTACTTTTGTATTTACCAAGAACATCCCAAATGTCATGGTCACCACATTGGGCAGTGCTGAATATACCATCTGCATGTCTAATTTCTAAATAACGGATCAACATTCTGAATATACCATCTACTTGCCTAATTCTAATCACAGTTCAACTTCCGCCACTCGATACCAACATTAGTTCTGCCGCTGTTGGCAGAGGTACTTCATAGCAGTCATGAATCAGTGGTAATGACATTGAGTGAAATTTAACATGGCTAGTAACTGTTGTGCTACCCAGGCATTTCTGTCATGACAACACGACTTTCTGCACTACTTACCATTCACCATCCCCTAACTAACTAAGATGGCCAGAACCCGAACCAGACAGAGTGAACAGTCAACGATCTGAGGACAGAAGCTTCGAAACTGTTCATTGGACTCAGAAGGAAGAGGATCCAGTACCAGAAGGTCTCAGACTGTAACCAAGGACCTCCTCAAACCCGCGGACAAGTTTTTAGCAACAATGTTTAAATGGATGGTCCAAAACTATCTGTCTCTCCTGCTGAATTACTTTCACAGATGCCGAATACACTTGAAAAGAATGGTCAAGTTCCTGCCCATAAGTAGCGTGTCTGTGCTAGTAGTTCATTCCCATCTGATTTTCGCTTATTCAAGCTCCTGATGATCTCATCAGGCTGATTATTGAGGATTTCGTGGCGAAGGGGTACAGTAACACCAAAATTGTTTCCCGCCTACGCAAACACTATGATACTGACACAGTACTGCACCGTCACAACATGTTCAAACACTAGGTATCTTATGTCGCTATATGAATTCCAAACACTTTGAACTCTTGCTAATGATTGATATAGGTAAGTACTACTTGGGAATGTTATGAGTCATGCTGATCAAAGTTGTTGCTTATTGTTCGCAGGAAGTGAGTATGTCAAGATTTTCGAGCTCAAACCATTCTGATCCAAATCGTTGACCACTGTTCCTCGTTCGAACAAGAGCCATGCCAATCCAAGACGTTGGCCACCGTTCGCAGGTTGTGAGTGTGTCGATCCTCGTTCGAGCAACAGCCATGCTGATACAAGTTGTTGCCCACTTCAAAGACAAGGATTTGGGATACATTGCAGGAATGATGTTTGGGGCCAGTTCTGAAACGGTGAGCTCTTACATTGCATCATGTCTTAAGTTGACAACCGCTTTTTGGTGCTGTTGCAGGTACGAGTTTGTAGCCTTCCCCTAGTGGCAATATACTCATTAGTAGCAGACTCGGTGAACTTGTCATCGACTCCCTCACTTCCTTTGACCCAGAAAAACACATCGCTCGGTCTACTCCCTCCTGTCTAGCGACATCTGTGAAGTGCAGCCCTAGAGGGAGGTGCGAGAGGTACATCTTTTTTATGTTGATGTCATTTATCTACTGACTAGTACTAGTACTATCAAAGATATACAAGCACAAATCCACTCTACAGGTGCGTGGTATCATTATAGCCTATCTTCATACTACTAACAATGGTTTGCTTTATAGCTCAACTCGACTGGACCCACCAAAGGGAACAGCACCAGTGATGATGTGGACGAGTAATGGATGGATACGAGACACCAGGATGGCAGAGGCGGGCGCGGGCGCAGCGATACCACTACCTAACCATAGTGATTCCTATAGATACATCATTCAATGGCATTAGATACCTATTCACCCCACCCAAATGGAACATTTTCAGCACATATATGCATCATCTAAAAGTGATCTAAAGCCAATGAGAATCACATCGAAGCGCTAAATGTTCATTTCGATCTCTATCTTTTTTCGTCTCAAAAAGTCCCACTTTTCTAAAGAGGTCGAAACATAGCGAAAAAATCCATTCCCTTATATTTTTTTCTGTATCTACCATATGTATCTACCTCATTCTTGTCGACTTTCACTGGGGATGATCGATGATTTAGAAATTGCAGATGGTATATTCAGTGTTGCCCAACGTGGTGACCGTGACGTTCTTGGTAAATACAAAAGTAAATACAACAGTAAATACAACGGACTTTGTCCGAAAATACACGCGGCAACACGGCAAATCGAACCGTCACCAAAAATCCACCATACTCAGGCCTGAGAAGCTAGGAAGGGATCACAGAGTAAGAAAAGGACTCATCACACACTGACATCTTATATATCTTTGCTAAGCGCTCGATCCGCTCAGCGCGCAGCCTGGCCTGATTCACATCCGATAAACATGGCAGTAGTTTTTAAAAAGAAGCACGAGAAGTGAACCACGGCGTCCGTTCCCACACACGAGGTAGCGGGCCCTGCCACGGATGTGGCCCTGCACGACTTATATTTCCAAGATCGTCGAGAACGGCGTTGAGCACACCCCTGAGGTTGACTCCTCATCAAGCGCGATCAGGTATGTCGTGCATCCTATCGCGTTCGCAGTGCTAGTTTGAATACATACTCCCAGCCATCCCAAACCCTTCAAGTGCTGTATTAGGCCTCGCTCTGCGAAAGCTATGGCGCTCATTCAGCAAGATGTTAACTATTAAGGGCACGAAGATCATCCTTGTTGTCTAAATCTGTCATGCATCCCGATATCGTACATATCTTGTTTCATCTTGTTGTATCGATCTCATGATGACCTGGTCCACATATAATACACACATCTGGCACCTTGGCACCTCCCGGGGACCCAACAAGGAGCAGGCTCACGTACTTAAGATCTCCTGTCGATAGCCAACACCTTTACGCGTGGCAACTGTCCTCGACTCAACCGTGACATATGGTCCGTAGGCTGCATATTCACAGAGCTCATGTTGAGAACCCCGTGCCTTCCCGGTGAGAGCGACATGGACCAACTCAAAACCATCTTCCGGGCACTCGGAATTCGTATGATCTTCTATGACATGCTTGTAACTTATGCTTTCACAAGGGCCACACCAAACTGCCAGATTACGTGCCGGTTGAACAATTCCAAAGAACGCCCCTTCGCGACCTCTTCACTGCCGCTTCTGGAGATACGCTTAATCTTCTTAGCAGGTTTCTCATGTACGAACCTCGAAAGCGCAAGAGACGCTCTCAACCACGCATACGTTTTCGCCCTGCCACATCCGTCACACCCCTCCAAGCTGCCTAAACCTGCTTCTCAAACATCCCGCCCTCTGGAAGAACTCGATGGTAGCGTTGACACGGCCAGCGCAAGGTCCGGCGTCAAAGCCGCTGCACCCAACAAGCTCAAACGAAATTTGACCTCCCCCGATGGCACCGACCTGAAACCACTCGCTCGCAGATTAGACTTCACTCAACATGCGAAAAATTCGTGATCACTGTGTTGACGACCAATGACTCCGCGCACCTTCATTGGTCGTGTATATAGCGACTAGCCTTGCAATGTAGGAAATAAGGGAATATGTATGAGCTAAACTTGAACGTGGTAATGGATAAAAACAAACACGGTAGAATGAAGTACAGGACAACGCTCGGGACAACAAGTTGATGGTTACATGTGAGAAGTACCGCGTCAATATGCAACTTTCGTCCTGATCCCAAAGCCATCTATGTTCTCGACGTAGAATGTATATGCGACTTGATTAATGATTCTGCACGCCGCTTTCTTGTGAATTCAGTCCATCGTGTCCCGCGCAGTGTCACAAACTGTACACTTAGTTGCGCTGGTAGGGACCTTCAGCATGCAGAGTGAACAAGTCCACGTATCCAACGATGAGCCTGGGGCCTTTATCCCTGCAGCAGACCAGTCAAAAGCCGGGGCCAAAGTAGCGCCAGGACGGGCCGCATCACAGACAGTGCATTTAAGCTTCGCACTGTCTGGATTAGACAGCATGCAAGTATCGCACTGCCAAATCTCAAAGTGTTGCGTTTTGATAGCAGTTTTTGACCAGTCAAATGTCTTCTGAGGTACAGCTGCAGGCTGTGCGGTACTACCTGACCTCGGCGCATCGCAGATTGTGCACTTATCCTTGGCACTGTCAGGGTTCTCTAGCATGCATGTGCCGCATGACCAAGTACCAGAGGTAGCAGCGGCAGGTGCCTTCATGCCCGCTGCAGTCCAGTTGAACCCGTTTGTGGATGGTGCTACTGATTTGAACTCGAAGGTAGGGAGGGAGAGCCGAGACATGCTTGCAGCTGCGATGCGAGCTTTGACGTGGCTGGGCCCAGCGGGATAGGCAGCCTCAGCAAGCTTGAAGCTATACTTCGGCAATTCATCGACCTCCATGACTGCTACAGCTTCTTTGGGGGGTAGTTTCGCCTTTAAGGACGTAGTCTGTGTCTCCTTAGGAAGGTTACGGGATGCCATCAACGGTGCCGGCGGCGCCTCAGACATTAGTTTGTCCTCAGCTGACGCAGTCTCCTTGTCTGCGTAGTAACTGTACCGCAACTTGGATGGTTCCCTAGGAGCCGATGTCTTGGCTCCAAATGCAGTCTTCATCGGCAAGGCCAGAGATGGAGTATGCGAGAACGGTGTAGGGCTCGGCGTAGTGAGTGGCGAAGGGGTATCTTCGACTGGCTCGACAATCTCGGCAGGCCGCGTAAAGACTGAAGATTTGTCCTGAACCATCTCAACATCCTCCACCTCTTCCACGGAAAGCACGACGGGAGTAGGTTTCGCGATCTTTTGCTTCTTTGTAGGACTTTCGTCCTGGTCTGAGACTTCTCCGGCAGTGACCATTGGCTTTGCGCTATGACCATTGGTCTTCGGGATATATGTGTCCTGAGCTTCGCGAGTCGGTTTCTCTTGCCTCTCCATATCTGGCGGAGGCCTTGCGCGCTTACTTCCCTATTATCAACATCAGTCCAGCCCCTAAACTTGAATCACAGTTTCCTCACTGACCTTTGGCACTGTGGCTTCAATAATTGCCTGTGCGGTGACTTCTGGCTCCTTCTGCTGTTTCTCTTTTTTCTCTGCTGGCAGGCGCAAGCGTCTCGTGGGAGGCTTCCTAGTGGGCATCTTTACAGGATTCGCAGTCTGGTACGGGTTCGCCACGTCAGGTTTCTTGAGGGGGGTGACTTCCTTAATGAGCCCTGTCATATAGTTTGCAGCACGCGTGGGTCGTGCTGGAGGTTGTGGCGGTGAATCGTTCTGCTTCCACGTTTGTCGTAAAGGTGAGGGTACAGCCGGGGTCGTGGGCTTTACAGAAAGACCCGCAGTGCGTAAACGAGGCGTAGCTGCTCCGTTCACCTTTGGCGTAACAACAGCCGCCGGAGCCAATGTCGCTGCAGACACTGGTGGAACTAGAGTCTTCTCGTTGATTGCAGGTGTAGAACGGGTGGGAGAAGTAGAGTTTGAGGTCGGGAAACCAATGCTAGACATCGACGATGGGGGCGCAGACTTCTGTGCAGTCGAAGACTCGGCTTCATTGCCCACACGGCGACGTTTTGCATCAGTTGCAGAAGGTGTCCGTATGGGAGATAGCTCGATACGAGGACCTTGGGGCCGAGATCCAAACCCAGGCGATCGATAACGGTTTCGTGGGCGTGCGCTACCCGCACCCTGCCAGCGTAATACGCCATTGGGATTGCGTGAAAGGGTCTTTTTCGGAGCGTGTGTGTCACTTGATATACCATTTGATGTCCCGAGCCCAAGGTTAGGAGAGGATCCACGCGACGGAGATGTCGAGAATCGGAAGGGTTCCGTCTTGTCTGCTGTTTGAGCATAAATACATGCTTATACAGCATGCTGGAAGCAGGAAGTTCGTACCTTGTACGTTCTTTTGAATGTAGTCCACTATGCCAGCTGCCTCGAATTCGTTAAGAGGCCGCCCTGCTTTTTCGACAAGGAATCGAGTGACAGGCTCGAGGTTCTTAGCAAGTGACGGACTTTGCTGCAGATAGAGGGGGACATTGGTTTGGTGAGGTGGTGTATTTAAACTGTAGAAAGGCTGTCGTGCGGGAGTGATGGGTTGGGATGCCCCATTGGAAGGTCCTGGTTGTTGGGCATCCCAAGCAGGCGGATAAACTAGTTCCTGGGAAGGCTACTCTTCGTGAATCAAAGTTACCAGACCAGACAATACTTAATGGACTACAAACCTCGTGCCCTGGCGGTACATCACCAGGAGGAAGAGGGAGCACAAATTCAGGCGCAGAGTTCCGATCAAGTTGAACTTGACGAGCCGGAATATGAGAGGGCCCCTCCTGTTCCTGAACCTGCAAATCCTCGTCCTCATCATTACTGGAGGACGAGGCACCTGAGCGCACCAGATCCTCAGTTCGATCATCCTCCTCTGTGCCACTGAATCGTAAGAAGCTCATTAAACCGGAAATGCTCCATAGCTTAGACATGAAATGTCAGACGATGTTTCAGATAGAAGACAATAACATGAGCCGTGTGCTCACCGATTTCTTCGTTGGAACTGGCTTGCTATGTTTTGTTGGGCGAGCGTAAGGAGATGAATGGGCAGTCCTCTTCGCCCGGCGGTCATTCCGTCTGTCCACGTTCATTCTCCCTCAATGAGTGTATAAATGTGCCAGCGAGTTAAGGAATTGCAGGCCACTTTGCGCTCGTTGTAGAACGGGCGACCAGCGACTAGAAACAGAGAACAGAGGACGTTGAGGACAAGTTATAATCATAGGACTGACTTGGTGAGCAGGCCTGGCACTTCCCGGTTTAGGGCCGGTCATTGCTCGCGACGAACCGTGACCTTGTCTTCCTGCCCACAACGACGACAGCAGTTCATTCTTTTATCAACATTCGTCGCCATGCCGAACAAGGTCGTCACGACACCATACCCGCTCATCGACGCTGACCCACACGCTTTCCGTGTTGTGCGTTATTTCCGTTCGTCAGACTATGCAACCTGGGCTGCAGGAACAGCCGCATTCCCGGCTGCTTTGTATTTCTGGGGTACGCATCCTTGGTTCAGTCACAACGCTTTGTATCAGGCTTATGTGAATTGTCCTTGTCCTCAGATATGGCTGACCCTGCAAAAGTTCGTCTGCGGACCAGCTTCCGGCTCGGAGGCTTCCTTGGTTTCGTTGGCGGTTTCTTGCTGGCATACCAACGCTCAAGTTGTGAGTTACTCTGGTTGCGCAAGACGTGAGCAGTCTCATTGTTTTTTTGTTAGTCCGATTCTGGGGCTGGTCAGAGAACAAACGAGAGGAGGACTTGGATCTAGCCGAGCTGTCCCAAAGGGCAGCTGAGGGTAAGCCTTTGTATGGTACATCCAGCCAGCCAGAGTGGGTACAGGGCACTGCATATCGGAACTCTGCATGGTCTCAGTTGAAATTCCGTGAGTATCGCTGGAATATGTTAATCAGCGTTTTTCCTGCTAAATCTCTGAATTTTTGCAGACGCATTCCCCATGTACGAACATATGTTACCATGATGTGCAGTCCCAGACTCATAGCAATTATTCTAGGTTCAACTTCGTCAACCATCAACATCATGGCACCGACGCTGCAAAATATGGTGTGAAGGAAAAGGAACTATCAGATTAGATATTCTCCTGCTGATTGTACTGTCGTTGGATTAGCAGGATGACGCCATGCACTTGCAAGGGGGATGATTTCCTTGTCTACAGAATGAATAAACATACCTGCTTTGGCTCTAGAATATAATGACCGCATCGTAATCAAAGAAGTTATAACAACACATGTTAGCTGGAGCATCTCCGACCGTTCTATTGTATCTAGTTGCGATGTACTTGAGTGTGACATCCATTACCTTGCAATTCCTCCACACAAAGCATTGATGGCATTCGATAATAAGATACATGTGTTGAAGTCAGCTGGCCTATAACAATATCACAGAACTGCAGTTGCCAAGGACATTCCCTTGGCTCAGCGCATACACGGTGTTCGTGCATATCGGCATATGATCAATTCCGTGCGTCCTCCCACCTTTTTGATCAAAGCATTCTTGAGACAATCTGACGACTTCGCATCCAGTCATGACCACGCGCAACCTGTTGCTACAATATTCCAGACTTTGAGACTGTATACCTTCATGAGATGTACACGCCAATTTCGACTTCGATTTGTATTTTCCAGTATGTTGCCTCGGGGCCAGAGGTGTTTGCTTCTGAGGTCCGGTGATGTGGGTAAGAATGAAGTTGCACGACAGTTATCTGGCATAACACCTCATGTAGCAAGACGATGGACGTGGTACTTATACAGAGAATATATGCGTGCAAGAGGATATCGATGGCACCGTATGACAAACATGAAGCGTCTGACTGTCGACATTTCCGTTCATGGCCTGATTTTGAAGACATTTATTTCTAACGCAGATTACAGAACTGCCATTCAGTACAAGTAAAGAGATAAAAGGTCATTCATTGATTTCATTCAGAAACACTTCCAAACTTTGCTTATGTAATGAATTTAAAATTGAAAGTGTAGGATTGCACGTCTCATCTTCGAGTCATTCAAGGACAGATGTCATTTTTATAAAGGCCTCGAGTTGTAGTGAAGGAAGCCGACCGTGATTGGGCTAGATTATATGGGCAAAATAGTCCCATGACGGCAACATGGGATTAGTAGAGTTGCTATTGGAGAGGCCACTAGATGTCCATGTCAGCCTTCAGGTAAGTACCTACACAATGTGTGTCAAACTTCATTCATGCCGCGTCACAACAGTGCGCGTCAAACCTCACCACTTCAACTATCACACTGTCCGTATGACTTAAGGTATATTTTATTTTAGATCTGTCATAATAATTGATGTTCTGACATCGTTCCTTTTCATCCTGACAGAATTAGACGTCGTACACTAGTGGCCGTGTCAAGGCCCACTCAGTACTCAGTGCCGGGTCACATGCGCGTCACGACCGCGGCAGGCGCGGCAGGACCGCGTCAAAATAGCTACGTCCAGTCAAAGGCACTGATAATCGGGCAGTGCTTCGCATTATGTGAATTTTTGTAAAAGTGCAGACTGCCTCAGCCTCACAGCTTTCTCCTTTTGATTGCTTATCAATGTCGAACTCTAGTTCAACGTGTCTTTGCTGTACAAATCCGACATCCACTGTAAATGAGGCTCCTGGCTATAGTTGGCTCGATATTCTGCGAGTAGCTTCTGTCCTGTCGACTTATCGGCGCTGCATGCTGCAGTTCCCTCCTTTATAATCCTTCAGGACTTTACAGGTACTACAGCTTTTCGTGACCAGTGTTGGTTTAAATCCATCCTTCAGCCATCATGATCATGGACCGTCGTCAACGTGTCACGTCCGAGTCTTCAAGCTCATCAGAATTAGACTCTGATTCAGACTTTTCTTCAACGTCATCATGTAAAACTTCCCCAACTCCTCTGGTCGAGAATTCTGCTACCAGTACCGAGCCCTTGAAAGGTAAGCGCAAGTCGTCAGGCGGCGATAGCGTCAACAAGACGAAGAGTTCAAACTGTCCACGCTCGTAAGTCGTCGTGTTGCATAGCGTATGTGTGGAGTTAATTTCACGTTTTCAGGCAAAAGCTGGACAAGTAAGTGTATGAATAATGAAGCACTCATCATCTGAATGTGCGTATTGTTTAGTGAGGAGCCAGGCTACCGAGAACGCACCATGGACCCAGGAGAGACACGCCGCCATAGTGGAGTGCAACGAGTCGTCATTACTGGTATGTGATATCTATCTCCGCTCGGCTCGTATTGATGATTTCCCTAAAGCTATTCGCGCAACTGGTCTCACTCTTGGTCTCCGACGGATCCCCGCTGGCTTCCATGCGGTGGTCAAGGCCGGGGGCGCTGAATACCAGACAAGTAATAAATCTGTAAACATAGACCAGGCTGTCACCGAATGGGACGAGCGCATTCTTCTGTAAGTCGTTCTTAACTCCGTCTGTTCTGCAGGCATTGAGAATGACTCTAGGCCGTGCGAGCCATGTTCTAAAGTTCGGGTCAGCGTATATGCCTCATTCGAATTGGGTCCCATGGTCTGTCACGGAGATCTCCTGCGCACATTCGAGATCTCCGTCGGAGAATTACTGGATCGCAGCGAAAAATCGCATCGTCAGTATCGTTAATTGTAAATAACGCCTGACAAATGCTAACTAGCATCACAGCCATCATCTTGCAGCCAAAGCAGGAGGAAGTCGTATCCGCCTGTACTTCACTGTACATGGCGGTGGTGCAGCAACTTTCCGATCAAAACGATGCCGGACTGATTTGCCTCCTTAGTAACGTGAGTGATCAACGCAGTCTGACATTTTGATGCTGAGAGCTGTAACGTGTAGCCTACATCGCGCGATATGGATGGGTTGGCACTAAAGACGGATGCCGGACATCGTCTTCTCGCACGATACCGCAGGACGCAGAATAGCAGGGATCTCGAACAATCCATAAAGCACTTTGAACGGGCCTCAGATCTCTGCCCCGTGGATCATACCTGCCGCCCCGCAGCACTGTTCAATTTAGCCACGGCAAAGTTTGTCAGTTGCCAAGCACATAGAAGATACCTCGACCTCGACATCTCTATCTCTCTTTTTCAAGACGCCCTGGACTTGCGTCCCACTGATCATCCGGACCGAAGCATGACCCAGCTCCATCTTGCCATTGCACTGCTGTCGCGGTTCGCTAAGCGGGGATTTGAAACAGATGCTGATGCAGCTGAAGAGTTGCTGAGTGAAGTCCTCGACGTCTGCCACGCCAACAGCCACGTTCACAGAGCAGCTTTGATTACAATCGAAACATGCGCTCTGGATTCTGCTGGAAGCATTGATGGAAATGATCTCAGGCAGGAGCGTCCCGCCACATCCATGCTCCCGTTCTCGCCGAATCAGCTTCTTGATCGAGCGCGGCGGTGTTTGGAGAGAGATGAACCCGGTGCCTTAGATGAAGTGATATCCCTTCATTATGATGCGTTGAGACACTACAACACTGGGCATGCTTACCGAGGTGGATTGCTATGTAATCTGGCTTCGATGCTGCAAATACGCTTCGAGCGTCGAAGCAATGTAAATGACTTAAATGAGGCTATCGCACTTCAGAGGGAAGCGCTGGCCTTGTACCCAGTCGGTCACACAGATCGGTCCAAGTCATTAAACAATCTCGCGACTCATCTCTCCTCCCGCTTTCGCCACCGAGGCAACGACGAAGACTTGAACCAAGCTATTGCACTTCACAGGGAAGCGCTGGCTTTGCGCCCGGTTGGTCATACAGATCGGTCTATGTCATTAAACAACCTCGCGAATCAACTCTCCATCCGCTTTGACCAGCGAGGCAACAACAAAGACTTGGATCAAGCTATCGCACTTCACAGGGAAGCGCTAGCTTTGCGCCCGGTCGGTCATGCAGATCGGTCCATGTCATTACACAACCTCGCAACTCGACTCTCCTGCCGCTTTGACCAGCGAGGCAACAACAAAGACTTGGATCAGGCTATCGCACTTCACAAGGAAGCGCTGACTTTGCGCCCGGTCGGTCATGCAGATCGGTCCATGTCATTACACAACCTCGCGACTCAACTCTCCTCCCGCTTTTGCCACCAAGGCAATGACGAAGACTTGGATCAGGCTATCGTACTTCACAAGGAAGCGCTGGCTTTGCTCCCGGTCGGTCACACAGATCGGTCTGGGTCATTAAACAACCTCGCGGCTCAACTCTCCTCCCGTTATGACCACCGAGGCAATGTCGAAGACTTGAATCAGGCTATTGTATTTCACAGGGAAGCGCTGGCTTTACTCCTGGTTGGTCATAAAGACCGGTCCAAGTCATTAAACAACCTCGCGACTCAACTCTCCTCCCGCTTTCGCCATCAAGGCAACGACGAAGACTTGGATGAGGCTATCGCACTTCACAGGGAAGCGCTGGCTTTGTGCCCGGTCGGTCGTACAGATCGGTCTATGTCATTAAACAACCTCGCAAATCAACTCTCCTCCCGCTTTGAACAGCGAGGCAATGTCGAAGACTTGGATGAGGCTATCGCACTTCACAGGGAAGCGCTGGATTTGTACCCGGTTGGCCACACAGATCGGTCCAAGTCATTAAACAACCTCGCGAATCAACTCTCCTTCCGCTTTGACCACCGAGGCAACAATGAAGACTTGGATCAGGCTATCGCACTTCAGAGGGAAGCACTGGCGTTACTCCCTGTCGGTCATACAGATCGGTTCATGTCACTAAACAACCTTGCGAATCTACTCTCCTCCCGCTTTCGCCACCGAGGCAACGACGAAGACTTGGATCAGGCTATCACACTTCACAGGGAAGTGCTGGCCTTACTCCCGGTCGGTCATACATGTTGGTCCATGTCACTAAACAACCTCGCGAATCGACTTGCCACCCGCTTTGAGCGCCGAGGCAATAGAGAAGACCTCGACGAGTCAGCAGAAAACCTACGCTCTGCATTGACTCTGTTGACCCAACATGATCCTCGTCAATTAATGGTCCATGTGTCGCTAGCTGAGGTCTATCTATCATTCCATCATTCAGGGCTTGACAGCACCGTCGCGGGTGAAAATACAGACAGTCTGAATGCTGCCATGCATTATATCAAGGCTGCAGCAAGTGTTGTCTCTGCAGGCTTGCTATCCCGCCTGCGGGCAGGTCTCCGTTGGGTGTACCATGCTAGTGAACATTCCCATGGAACTCAACTGGAGGCTTATACGACTTCCATGCAACTCCTCGACGCTTACATGTCTGTGACTGCCTCTGTATCGTCTCGTCATAATGCCATGAAGGAAATCTCGAGGACACTTGCTGTGGATGCTGCATCGTGTGTCCTTCGCAGTGGTGATGTGCGTCGCGCTGTTGAGTTGTTGGAGCAAGGCAGGACTATCATCTGGACCCAGATGGCGCGACTCCGCACCCCTCTTGACAGCCTCGAGACTTGCGGCGATCATGCAGTGACGCTGATGAAGAGATTCAGACACCTCAGCTCCCTCCTTGATAATCCTCCTGCGAGTGATTTTGAAAACACCCCAAGAGTTGATGTAGAAGCGGAAGCAACCCGGTACAGACGTTTAGTGGAAGACTGGAATGGAACTGTAGAAGAGATCCGGAAGATCGAGGGCTTCTCTCGCTTTCTACTTCCCCCTTTGTTCTCTGATCTTCAAGATGCAGGTCGTGATGGGCCCGTCATCGTGCTCATCGCAAGCAAATCGTCTTGCAATGCCATCATTATCTCGCACAAGCAACCTCCCACTAGCATTCAACTCCACACCAATGTGTCAAAACTCATCGAATTGGTATTCACATTCCGAGATGCAGTTGAAAAAGATGCCGGTCCTAAAGGGAACCAACGAGCGCTGATGGAAGCTTTGAGAGAGTTGTGGAAAGTTGTCGTCTGCCCAGTGGTCGAGACACTGAATGAAATCGTACCACTAGGTTCCCGAATATGGTGGTGCCCGACGTCTGTCTTCAATTTCTTGCCGTTGCATGCTGCTGGCGAGTACAGGGCAAGGGGAAAGTCCCTTTCGCAGCAGTATATCTCTTCATACACCCCATCGCTCACCGCCTTGATCAAGGCTCGCGCAGGTCATGAGAGGTCCCCATCAGTGCCCTTTGTTGCCATTGGTCAGAATCACCCAGCCGGTGCCTTATCCATTTTGGAGGCTGTAGAGCCTGAGCTGGAATTGGTGCGGACACTTTTGCTCCCTGCCTCAACTGTTTCCTTCTCCAAGATAACCAGTGATGATGCCACGAAATCGAGAGCACTGTGCGCATTGCGAGACAATACTTGGCTCCATCTCGCGTGCCACGGGATACAGAGATTCGACGAACCCTTTCAGTCGGCCTTTCTTATGCGCGACCAGCCGCTTTCACTCCTCGATATCGCTCAAATGGGTCTGTCTCGGCATCAATTTGCATTTCTTTCTGCCTGCGAAACCGCAGTCGGTGACTTGAATACGCCCGATGAATTGATACACCTGGCGGCTGGCCTGCAATTTGCTGGTGTTAAGAGCGTCGTTGGGACACTGTGGAAGGTGAATGATAGTACTGTGCAGCGCGTAGTCGAGGCATTCTACAAAAACTTTTGCGGGGATGGCACGATGAATTCCAAACGAGCTGCCCGGGCGCTGCACCGAGCGGTCCAGTCGTTGGCCAGTGACAAGGACATTCCCTTGGCTCAGCGCATAGTGTTCGTGCATATCGGCATATGATTAATTTCGTGCGTCCTCCCACCTTGTTGATCAAAGCATTCTTCCGATAATCTGACTTCGCATTTAGTCATGACTACACGCAATCTGTTCCCATTCGAAATTCCTTAGAAACTGTATACCTCCACGATATGTACACCCGATTTCTACTTCGATTTGTTTATTGCCTCGGAGCCATAGGAGCTTGGCCCTGGCAGGATAGCAGACCATAGACGAATGAAAATAAACAGTCCGTTCTTGTTTTCAGAATCGATACTAAAGCTTGTGTAAAGCAAAAAATCGGATTGAAATCGAAATGTCGAGCCAATGCATAACTGTCTGAATGTACACGTGTATAATATGCGCAAGAGGATATCGATGGCAATACTTAGTCGCAAGAACAAGCCGCGATATACTCACCCTCTACGAAAAGATCATTTGTGGGTGTTCAAAAAAACCAAAACCCATGTGCACCGCCCCCCACGATTGGTGCCAGATGGGATAACAGTCTTGATCTAGGTCCAACTACGTACCACCAAAAAAGACGACATACCAAGCCATCAGAATGTTTGATGTTACTCTGACAAACTGCGACGTGGACATCGGATGGCGATTGATTCGGATCAAACATTGCAGCGTGGCCGACACCAAATGTTCTCATTGGAAGTTTGAGGAATGTAAAGCTCAAGCTTGACTATATCAATGAGAAGAACGGGCGCATCATGATGAATATCACCATGCCGTTATAAATACCTTCTCTCATGCTAGACGCCCACTGGAATCATCATCCACCTAACGAAACCCGCTTACCATCGCTTAGAAGCCAAAACCATAGAAAACCATGTCGTCACTCAAAGTAAGGGAAGCCGAAGCCGATTTCAATGTTCCTGGTGCGGGCAAGCCCTGCAAGACTTGGTACAAGGTGTATGGTACTCTCCCCCACCCACACAACCCACCTCTTGTAGTACTTCACGGGGGTCCCGGTTCAACCCACGAATACCTCGACATCCTCTCCGAGCTTACACGTCTCTTCGACGTACCCGTTATACTTTATGATCAAATCGGCAATGGACGCTCCACGCATCTTCCAGAGAAGAACGGAAACGTAGACTTCTGGACTGTGCAGCTCTTCGTCGACGAGCTGCACAACCTCCTGAACCACTTAAACATCCATGACAACTATAACGTACTTGGGCAGAGCTGGGGAGGGATGCTGGCATCAGAGTTTGCAACGCGCCAACCAAAAGGCCTCAGGAAACTGGTGATTGCTGACTCGCCAGCGAGTATGGCGCTGTTTGTCAAGGTCGCAAACGAGTTGAGGAAGGGGTTGCCGCAGGAAGTCCAGGATGCGTTGAATAAGCACGAGGCAGCGGATACAACAACGGATCCAGAGTATATTGCTGCAATGAATGAATTTTACAAGCGGCATTCGTGTAGGCTCGATCCAGTGCCTCAGTCCCTGGTGGACGGGCTTGTATGGATGGAAAAGGATCCGACTGTACACTCAACCATGTAGGTGTTTCGTCCATTTGTGTCACGCATCTTCAATCCTTGAGGGACAGGAATGGACCGAATGAATTTAACATCACTGGCTATCTGAAGACGTGGAACGTGATTGACCGGCTGCACAATATTCAGGCGACGACATTGCTCATCAACGGGAGGTACGATATAACCCACGACATAGTTGTGGAGCCCTTCTTTCAGCATATCCCGAAAGTCCGATGGGTGCAATTTGCGGACTCAGCGCATGTCCCGCATCTGGAAGAGACGGAAAGGTTTATGCAGGTGGTGTGGGCCTTCTTGCGTGGCTGAAGCGACTGGGAGTGTAGAGGCAGCAGAAAAGAAATGGTGACGGGGTGCACAGTCAGGGTGTATGATACAAGTCATAAGTGCAAGGTGTAATATCGATAGATTGACACTGCAAGGCCTCCAACCGCAAATTGATTACATCAGTTCAGCATTGATCTATTGAGCGCTCACCTTTCCCACTCAACAGACAAATTTTTCACATGACACGCCTACATCGCCTAGCAGTTTGCCGAGTCCTGTGAACAGAAGTACTCATCACGTGAGATATGTACACGGTCGCGTGTCATCAATTTGGTGACGGGCGTCCAAACAAGGTTCAAACGTTCAAGTTTGAAATTCTCAGAAGTTCAAGTTGCTTCGAATTTAAAATCCGTTCTGCAACCTCTGCTTGACTACTAGTATCTGTTACTCACAGCTCTCATTTCTTGTTTACTGCGGTCCAAAAACCTGTCGATCTGCCCGTGAGGCAAGCTTGAATCGATAAACTTGTTCGAATAGCATCTACCCATCCATGGTAGGACTCACGCTGTACGATGTCCTTGCGATTCCAACTACCGCTTCTACGGATGATGGTTCGCACTAATCTAATCTACTTCGTCGTTTTGATCTTAACTTCCAATCGCAGTGAGGAGGGCATACAAACAGAAAGCTCTTGAAACGCACCCTGACAAGCTCGAACCTACCGTGTCGGAGCAAGAGCGCCGTGCTGCAGAGGGAAGGTTCAGAAATGTATGGGTGGTCTGAGCTTGGTGCGAATGATTGCTTGATGCTAATGCTGATGGTATGATTTTGTTGCAAGGTATGCGAGGCATTTGAGGTGCTCAGTGATCCAGTGAAAAGAAAGGTGTGTCTTTAATCATGCTTATGCCTCTGTTGGAATGATGGGCACCAACATATTTCATTGTTTTAGGCCTACGACGACCGTATTCAGCTTGCTCAGAAGAACAAGAAACACTGGGATGAGCAGCACGACAAGCGAGTCAAGACGCGCGAAGAGTGGGCGCGTCAAGTCAAGGAACGCAGCGAGGCTCGTATGAAAGAACGTGCAGATTTCTATGAAAACCTCAAGCGTATAAAAGAGGAAAAGCAGCGATACATGGAAATGGTTGAGCTATTCTATCAAGAACTGCGCGACTGCCACCCAGAGTGGGAATCGAGGAGGCAGGCTGCGCTACAGGTACATTTGCAAGCATCTCTCAATTCGATGGATTAATTTTATATACAGTGGAAAGAAATGGCGGACAAAGGCCAAATACCACGACAACACACGACTCGCATTTAGCGAGGCAAACTCAAACTGATAGTTTCTTCATTTCAGAGGGTATTTTGCTTTATTTATCTCCCAGCGCTGGAGTTTTTATTCGCGATACTGTTGTACTTCTATGCTTCGATTCCTTCTGCGATCCCTTGTTGTTCGGTTCGTGTTCGTATTTATCTGTTCATTGATCTGCCTGTGATTGTGTTTGCTATAGTCTCCCTGGACATTTAATGGCAGAATGTACATACGGAACTCCAATCTGTCGGGTCGATATGATCTCAATGTCATCACAACCCCAATGACTTCTGTCTACTCTTAGCAATTTCCCCTACATCATCCACCGCTCGTGTCAGTTCGTGCAACCAATCCTCACTGTTCTTCGCGACACAGATCAGGCTTTCTGCCGTAGGCTCGTTCAGCGGAGGCCCATCTGGATAGCTCTCCAAAGGATGCCCAAGCTGTAACTTGTCCTCCATCTCCCTTGCAATTGCGGCCCTAGTTCTCCCGTTCACGAACGTGATGTACCTCAGTCCAGAGTACACACGCTCGTAACACGCGTTAAGGTGTTCTAGCCGTTTCAACACCTCTGGGGGTGTCTGCAACCTTGTGGTAGCAGAGAGGCCACCACTTTGCTCTTTGGCACTCAACGCAGAGAGTTGTTTGATTGCCCCGATCCTTGGATGTGCGGCGATGAATTCTGCTTGTTCATGTGCATTCCATGCGTGAATGATAGCGATGGCGCGTTCTATGAGCGCGTTAGTGGGATCTGTGGTCTCAAGAGGTGTATTCCTGATGGATTGGAATAGCTCCGGGGCGAGTTTGGTTATCAAGATATCCGAATGCTCGAATAGCTGGGGGAGGATGCTCGCTATGACATCCTGAGTTTCGTACATGTCGCGAACAGAGCGTGTCAAAAATCGGGGATAAGGGATTATAGATGATCCCTCAGTGACAATCCGTGGCGGATGATACGGTCAGACGTGTGGATGAGATGTGCATGTGAAAGGCACCAGGTGCGATGGATTGCAGCTAATTGGGTTATAATTTTACCACATTAATGCAGCGGACTGCAGTGACTAAGTCGGGCCGAACCCCTAATCAGCTGATCATCGCCGTGACTTGGACCACCATTGCAAAGGCATATATAATGCCAATACTAACGTTGGTTATACTAACCCGCCGGAATACATCCCCGCATTCACAGGCTATCATTATTCCGCGTCATGACCAAACCGTTCATTCTTCGCTGGGGCATTATCTCAACTGGCAGGATAGCCAATTGCTTCGTAACAGTACGTTGAACATATCCGCCCATTTCTCTTTCTAATTGAGAATTGTGGTTTACTAGGATCTTCTTGTTGATCCCGAAACGTCAGCGCCATTCCGCTGTCCATCGTGAAATCGAATGACATTGTTAAATACAGCCGTGATGTCACTGATGTAGCGCACAAAGTGACTGCTGTTGGGTCGCGAAGCGTCCAATCAGCGGAAAAGTTCATCGCCGAATATGCCAAGGGTGATAAGTCGATTAAAGCATATGGGAGCTATGCTGGTGTCTTTGCGGATCCGGTGAGTAGAATACCGTCAGAGCAGCAACTCACCTAACGAAATGTGGCGCAGAACGTCGATGCAGTTTACATTGGTTTGACTTAATTTACCTAGGTCGATTTCAACTTACCCGGCGTTGTGTAGCCACACCTCATACTCTTCACTATGAAAACGCGCTCGACGCGATCAAGGCAAAGAAACACGTTCTTTGCGAAAAACCTGTGACATCAAACGCAGCTGAGCTTCGGTCGCTTCTTGCAGCTGCAAAAGAGCATGGAGTGTTCTTCATGGAAGCTCTTTGGACACGCTTCCAGCCTCTTACACTCGAGGTCAAGAAAATTTCGGAAAGTGGTGTATTGGGTGCACCATTGGCTCTCCAAGCCGACTTGTCAGATGACTTTAAGCTTAACGGCGAGTGATGTTGTATTTTGTTATGTGACATCAGATCTCACGGAGCACAACAGAAATTCCCAAGACTCACCGCGCCTTGGATCCTGCCCTTGGTGGTGGCGCGTTACTAGATTTGTGAGTACATAAGGTAAATCTTATAGCGGAGAATAGTAATCTGACCTATTGCAGGGGACCATATCCTCTTATTTGGGTAAGGCAGCAATTATCTTTGTCTTTATTCCCTTAATGACAATAACAGGCCATTCTCGCCCTGTATGAGCACCCTTATAACCAAGGAGCTGCTCCCAGCAACGTCAGTGGGACAATGTTGAAAACCCCTCTGACAGGAGTCGACTGCAACACCTCCTTCACGGTCACCTTCGCCAAAAGGGAACTAGCTGCACAAGCCATTCTGTCATGCAACATGAACATAGCTTCCTATCATACCGGCGCCGTAATTCGATATGAGAAGGGTATGATCACAATTGCAGCGCCGATATACTGCCCGAAGAGTTTCACTGTGCAGTACCTCGAAGGCAGCAAAGTGACGAAGGAGGAGACAAGGCAATTTGAGTATGTTGGCACTGGATGGCATTTTCAGGCAGATGAGGTTGCACGGTGTGTGCGCGATAAAAAGAGTGAGAGTTCGCTCTGGGGACACGATAAAAGCCTGGTGGAGATGGATGTCTTCGACGAGGTCAGACGCCAGGGAAACTACAAGTTTCCCCCTGGTGTGGAGAAGGTGGTGTAAGGGATGTGGAAGCTTTGAACAATATTGATCTGCATATAGTTCGTTCGGAAGTGCACCTGTAATTTATACTGCGCCGCGTCGTGTTGTTAAATTCGATTGATCTGGTGAATGTGCTTTGATTTTGTGCACACGTGACGTGAGTCGCGCTGCACGCAACCAAATAAACATTCGGAACTTACATACGAGTCGGAGCTTTATCAGTGCTATTGAGAACCACCAGCTCAGTGAAAACATCGCGACTAAATTCTTCACATTTATCCATAATGAACGCTGCCTCTCTCATTTCTACAAGTGTCGCCCGAGTTATCATGACTGGCGTTCTTTCGGCAGTCCTATTCAACAAAACCGTGGTTCGTTACACTCGCCATGCCCTGAAGGAAGCAGAACAGGCTTCTCCACAACTCGCCGTTGTTACTTTATGCATCTCTACCCTAGCGCTTCTCCACGCGTCCGATAGAATAGCTTGCGACGTTCTGGGGCTTGCAGAAACCTGTACACCGACTACTACTAGTGAAGAGTATTCCTTGGCAACCGCTCGTGATGATCCTCGCTCTCCTGCTTTCTCACACGACGATACCGACGACTTCAAGACTCCTTTGTCATCGCCATCCATTTCATCTCCTGGGAACAGCTTAGACAGTATCGTGACCCTCACCTCCTCCTCAACCGTTTCCAAGCTTGGCAATGTCTTCAGAGATAGTATGACGCCCAGTCCTCCAGCGGTCGTTACTAGTGATAGTGGCGACGACGTAGTGCTGCGCAAGGTATGATTATTCCTCTTTTGAACTAGAGGTTCTAATAACATTATTTTCTTCTCAGTGGACAATGGAGACAGCGCCAGAGTTCAGCACCCCAACGACTCGCACTCCTGAAAATATTCTTAATTCAATCATCAAGCGAATGAGATACCTCTCACTCTCAGACAGTCGTTCTTTCCCCTCAACCCCGACCCGAGCTTGAGACCCCAAGCTACCATCGAAGCATCCCACCTCTCAGCACCTCGTTACTCCTTTATTCTTTAACTTCCCGCACAAACTAGCCCGTGATACCGACCTGCATCCACCCTTTCACAGAACTACGCATCAAGGCTACCTCACGCCTCTTTACCTTCAAATTCCTAGCATGAGGATGCGATTATAGTACCGAAATAGCATGCAGCCAGCTTCTCGTCTGGATATGCAGGGAAGTTTCATGTCCTCTTAACTCCTCCTGTCTTAAAACTTGATTATGTATCACACGACACTTGCCACGCCTGTACTGTTCCACTTTGTCGATCATCAATGATCATGGTATCATTGATCGTGATTCATCAAAATTGCTTCGGCAACCCCTAGATTCGCGAGTAAATATTAAGGCAAACAAGAGTAGGACAGAGCGTTCACTCGTATAATTGCTAACAATCGTCTAATATTATAGCGACGGTAGACTTACCAGCTGGTGTTCATCCCTTGGACACCAGAGGGCAAGTGTACAGTCGGATAAAATACAAAAGATAAGAATCAGGCGCTAGGGTGACGACACCCGCTATGATGTGTCTGGAACGTCCTAGTCTCCTGTAGTTAGATCATCAGAAGTGGATAATTTCTTCTTACTGATAGGAACACCCTAGACCTACGAGGAACGAAAAAATGATATGCAACGTCGGTAAGATTCTGAATCTACCTTCCTTGACTCCAGCCTTGTCTGCCAATCGAGTGAGAATCTTGCTACGTCTTCTCTTCTTCGCTAATGGACATTGCAGCAATTCATGCGCAACTCGGGATAACGAGTACATTAATCGCAGGTATGCAGGTTGTGATCAAACCTCCAAGGGTCTCCGGATATGCAGCGGCAAGGAGGCGATGGATGACAATACAGTGCTGCTGCTGCCTGTAAATAGCGTGGTGAGTTGGTGGTAAGTATAGGGAATATGTGTGTGGGAGCTGCTATTGATCATCATTCTACACTCAGCTTGAACTTAAACACCGTGGATCTGAACTTTGTATACAAGGTTCAAAGGGGAACCCCTCATCAAGTTGCAAACTTGCACATACATGGATATATGACTTTACTTATCGTTGGGTTCGATGAGCACCTGGCTGGTCGATAACGCATAATGTAGCCTAGAGATCGTCGCTTCCTAGACAAATTTCCTGGTTGGAGGTGGTTCGATGTACCCTGACGAGAGAAGAAGATGCTACTAGTAGTAGTAGCTGGATGAGTGGGTTCCTTCGATTGAATAACGCGCACCTGTCGTGATCAAGCCAGATCCTGCCAGATAGTATCATGCACATAACGCGCAAGTCTCTCACATATGATGAGAATGAATCACCCTCAAAATACTCATTAATTAAGTATCAAGTTGCGAGACTCACGGACTTGCCAAGGGTAAGGCACACGAAAGTCGGGGTCATTGCTTACATAATAGAGTTGGTGGGGACTTCCGGCACCAGACGTAACTAACCGTGACTTATCTCTTCGTTTCTGGCCGGGGATTCCGCAGAGTACATAGGTCTTCCTGAATCCGAGGTCCCTACAAACTCAATATCTTGATCCGAGTTCTGGTGAGCCCGTCCACTCCAGTTTTGAACACAAGTTACTTACGCCGCAGCACTAATAGTGACATAGCAACCCTGAAGATGGGATTCAGACAAGGCGCTGTTCTTGCATCGTGCTCTTTTTTTCTTGGTGAGACTTCAACTCATGTTTCCGATGGATCTAACTCCGTATTTCTGTAACAGGAGTCCTCTTCATATGCTTCTTCGTTGATTACCGCATTCTGCATCAAGAATTGACAGAGGAGACTATTGAAGACGGCTTCCAATTTTATACAACTTTCTTTAATGCACCACCCGCAATCAAGGTCTGTTCCTTTGCGAGCGGTAATGTCAGGAGGATGATGCTCATTATCACAGGCCGTGCTACATGGCTTCATGGGGGTTGGTATTTTAGGACTTGTTGCAAAATTGCATAAATATGATGAGAGTGCCATCTTCTTTGATGGATCAAGTCTGGGTAGGAGCCGATTTGACTTGCTTCGATACATTGCTCAATAATATGATTAGTGGGATACATTTTTTCAGCAGCCGTTTACCTTGCAGTGTCAATTCCATCTTTGCGAACCATCGTCACCCCCGCAGATGTCGATACACGTGCGGACCGTATCGAAGCCTTGCGGATACTCTCAGCAGGCAACACCATTATGATGGTGGTCCTTGGTGCCATTCTAGTCCTCCAGGTAATCATTAGACAATACTTCTTTCAACACTCGCTTTCCCGCGCGACGCTAGTCCACCCTAATTTTTTCAGCTCGATTTGAAACATTTATCTATAACATTTCCTGCCCGAAGGGTGCATCGCAGAACTCTGTTTCATTTCTTATGTTACCTGCTCAATATTTATTTCTGACTTCGTTCCAACAGGGCGGACAGGAATACGCACGCCGTGTAGAGGCGAGAGAGATGGCCAAGATGGAGGAGGAGCTTAAGGCCAAAGGGAGTCCTAGTGCTGGGAAAGATAAGAAAGAGTAGATGCTCTGCTGGCATGCGAAGCGGGAGGTCAGACGTTACTTAGTCAAGGCATTCCCTGACTATGGATATCAGTGTCTAAATTCCGCATCTCGGTTTAAGCTTGGCGTCTATCTAGAAACATTTAAATCGATGATACTTGGTAGTGTGATGAATTATTAACGCCAAGTACGAAGTACTAGTAGTGCTTGTTGAAGTTTTGATTAGTTTGCACTCATTAAAATTTGACTACTAATAATAACGGATGATGAACACCTTAGCATGTGATAACCATGTCGTTCAATGATTTCGGAGCCGCCATAGCCTGGGGCGATCCTGAGCATCAACCTGGCGACATAGTAAAGGATGCGATACGGAAGGAGAGGATTTTGAAGTCAGTTTATCCTTTAACTTTCTACCCACCAGCTTCTGATTAGCACCCTACAGAGAGATTGCAGCTGCACAGGGCGATTTGCAAGGTACTTGCTTCCTGGATATCAATTTATACAGTCGCCAATATCGTATCTTCAGCACTTGTTGCACGAGTGCACAGCGTCCAGTCAGATGTCGACAAACTTACGTCCGAGAATTCGACTTTGCAGATGTACATCGACAACCTAACCATGCAGATGGCAAAGAGGAAGTAATTTTTCTGTTGTTTGCTATCTATGTATGTGTAAGTCATGATCGAGCTCTTATGTATCACCTGCGGTTGAACGTTCAACTTTTCATCAGACCACCATCATGCGGGTTCACTATTGGTTTTCCTCTTGCACGTCTATATCGCAGAATACGGTACCCTCGAGTTTCTTGGCCTGAATGAGAACTTCTTTTTTTGCTGTCTAGCATGGGTTAGTCAGATCTGTGGAACGTGCTCAAATTCGGAACAAGTCAAATGTCATCCGACAAGCTGTAGACCCGCACTGCTTCGACCAAAACGCCGTGACGAAGAAGTCATCTATCATGGCTGTGCATAGTCAAACCCAGGCTTCCTGACAGGATAATCCTACGTGATTGACACATTCATTCAAACAGGACAGTGATGTGTATACGTACACGTTCTCGTAGGCACCATCCGCAAGCCGTACCGTTTCCATCCAGAAGCCGTTCACGATAGACCGGTTTTCTCGTGCGCAGCAGTGACATTGACAGCTGAGATAACCCTCAATTGAAATCCAGTGACCTACTCGAGTCCTCGTGGCTTGTCACAATGATTTGACGATCTAAATGCCCGGCCAAATACAGCGTTTGCTCCATCAGCCAGATGTAGATTCACGTCACCCTTGGAGATACCATTCTGTTGGCACGATTGCGCTTTGATACCAGGTCCAAGATCAAACATGGTTCTATCAGTGCCGTCCTTATCGTTACTCCGCAGGCAAGGAATCTGATGCCTGACTCTTTAGTCTGATGACGGCGAGGTTGTTTCTTGGGGCTGTGTAAGACTATCACTTATCTGTTCGAGCGGCGCTCTCGCTGGTAACCTGACATGCCTTTTCCGACGTTTCGACTGCATCTGATACGAAAATAAACCCCTGTTTTGACAGATGGCGCCGGTTTCTTCCCGCAGATACGAACAGTTTTCGAAGCCATTAGTGGTTGACACTAAATGCTATTCTACTTCCTCAGGAACACGCCCAGGAAATAGCTTGTAGCCCTATTCACTGCCAGTAACATCATTGAAGGTGAACACGATTTCGGATAGGTGAAAACAAACGTAACCATTATTCCCCTTTCGCACCGTTACCTGGTGCTGTTTGGGAGTTACTTGGAAACTTGTTCGGTGTTTCCTTGATAAGAATGCGACCGTCGGGGGTTAAGCACTGCTGCCATGAGTCTTGATGCATTGATGAATCGCCTCAGTTTCTTTTGGGGCGCTCGGGCAAATTAACCGACTTTTATTTTGTTTCCTGTTAGCTTCAGAGTGTGCTGAGTATAGTCTTCCCCTCGCAGCATTGCGGGAAGTTTGAGCCTTGAGACTTTGTCCTCCGTTATGTATCCCGCCTTCGGGTTGTCCTCGTACGTGTTAGAGCAGTGGTGGACTTGAGAGCGCTATGGCAGAGCTTCGGATGCAAAGGCAAAGTATTATTGGCAAAGTTCATGCGTTACCGAAGAAAATATACAATGAGAGAAGTCATCTTCATCTTCTTTCTGTAAACTCCGTGATAACAATTGACTGTGCTGAACGGACACCAAATCCATAATGGTACGTCAAAATTTCGTAGAGCTCGCCTTCTCTGCGTCCCTCATCCACTCTCGCAATCTCCACCCCTTCCTTTGCTTTCTAACACCATCCCGTTAACATCCAAAATCTCCATAATTAGCTCCGCGTCCTACACACTTCTATTTATTTTTTCCTTTGCCTCGATACCAAATTACGCGTTTCCGCTTCGGATAGCCGCGCCGCCATATGTCCTTTGCTACTCCGGTGGGAAGCAAGTCCAAAATGCTCGAATACTCGAACGCTTTGTGGGAACAAGGGCGCGTGATATTCACCAAGTAGGCACTACCGACCTCGCCGTGTCCACAACAGATATCCGTGGGACTTGGATAAACTTGCGTGCATCGGTCTCGGACTTGATTATTTCCATCCTTGTGTCTTATGGGAAGATCAGGTAGAGTAGCAATGATATATTTCGATGACAAATTAGCATACAAAACAACATTGCGACATTTGTCCTTACTGAACGAAACAAGTACCCAATGATGGGAATCAGCTCCTAGATGTGCAATGTGATTCCTTGACCGAGATCTGAGGCTCCAAGCGAGTTACACTCGATCCAGTAGTTGCGCCACCCTAGAACACATTGAAAGATACGGTTCGTGACTGCGTCGCCAGTATCCGAGGTTCAAGCCCTTAGGGATAAACAATTCGCGTTCTTGTTCCAGATATTTTCCCTCTTCCGAAAGGATTTCACGCCCTTTAAGCCATGAAGCAGAAGAGAATCCCAAGATGAACGGCGCCATCAGCAATAAAATGAAAATCTTTTAGCCAAGGGAAGATTGACTGAAGTCCATCACCTGTGGAGGTATCCGTTGGGACTAAGCAGGCACGCATACAAGCACACTCGGCTCTTGATGGAACTGCCATTCTGTCAAGATTCAAGAACTAAGTTAGCGTCACCCTGCAGCGCTTCGCGAACGGCATCCTCGGACTCGGAGTTGGACAGGAATGCCTCACGGCGAGTCTGAAGATAAAAATCATATGAGGCAGATGAATTCCACGGTTGTCATTGGACATGCCAGTGGTACCAACAGCCCATGTCCATGGATGAGTTGACGACTCCAGAGGATCGTGAATGATCGTAAATGTGTGGCGAGCCTTGATATGTTCGGAATATTCCTTAGGCTTAGCACAAGGTTAGCGGTCTTCTCGATTCCTGAAGTTCTTCTCAAAGGCCTGTGGCAAGGCGGCAGAAGGAGTTGTTGTGCTAAGTACAAAAGCAGACATAACCAACAGACTTAGCAGGTTCGGCGGGGGCAGGCGGCGGAGATTCCCTGGAAAATATTGCCACAAAGCCTTCGATTAAGCGACTCCGCCAGTACGGCAACTTCCTAAAATCATCCACCTCCAAGCAGAAAAGTGGCAGCGGCAGCTCTGCAGGCCTCCATTGCTGTCTGATCCCCTCACATCAAATTACCAACAACCACATCACTGCTATCCGACACTGACTTCCAGTATTATTCTGGGGAGACTTAGCATTCGTCGCCTCAGGATGTCGTTATCCAGAGTTAAAATTCTTCTCACTTGGTGCAATGAAAATGGCATCCAAATCGATCCCAGAATACAAGTTCGGGAAAGTACAAACCATCAAGAGTTAGCCGATAGGACGGAAAGTTCCCGCAATTCCTCGCGCGGTCGCGGAATCAGCGTGTACTCACTCGAAGACTTCATTGATTGTTCCCGTTCCCGTGAGTGCTTAGTTTGCATACACTAGATGGTTGCAATTCCCAAACCATTGCTTGGCTGCATACCAAGATGCTCTTACGGTGGAGACCTGCTGTCAGTATTTGTTCTCGTGGGTACGGGTAGTAACCCGCCTTCTAGCGCAGACGAGTCAAACGAGAACCAAGATGTGACACAGGCTCATACGTAGGCAGAAAAGAACGATGTTATTTCTTTTGAAACAAATTTGTCGATCCTTCATTCTGACTCGCTTTATTATTGATATAGTCGTACGCATTCCGAAGGCAGCTATTCTCTCAACCAGGTCATGCTTCCTCTCTCAGGACATTATTTCTGCTCCATATGGCCATGGTGCACATCTCGCACTGGCTCTCGCCTTGTATGGTGAGATGTACGTATTTTCCATGCTTCTACAACTTTGTCTTCAACTTTTAGCTCACTCGCGTATTCTGCTCCGCTCCTTCACCCTGATTCGCCTCATTCCCACACTGCTCTCTGCTGCCGCTTCTTGTGCTCTCACAACCTTCCGCAACTATACTTGATGCAAAAAATGACACCTGATCGAACGAACTAACCGGTTCCATGTCGTGTGACATCTTGTGACTTTCCCTGGCTCTTTGATCTGAATTACTCCTGTCTGGATTCGCCGACTTACGCTATCTTATGGTTCATCGTGTGCCGAAACCGCCTTTTTTCATGCTTTGAGGATAGTTTGCGAGGCCAAGATTCCAAGTGGTTCGGATACCTCCAGAGCCTGCCGCGGGAAACTATGGACACAGCTATATTCTGGGGTGTCAAGGACGTTATTGACTTCGGATCCTGTGTATGCTCAAGCCGCGGAGAGACTATTCCTCCGCACAGTGCCATTGGAGATGATGCTGGCAACGTTGGAGCGGCTTGCTCCAATACGGAATTCCCCGAGTGTGCTCCATGCCTACAATACCTGGACAGTAAGCGAGCTCGGATGTGGCTTTCCTGTACAGAGGCTGAAAAAGAGCTGGACGGTCAAATGGTAAGTACGTTGTCTCTGTAAACTTAATGTTTTGATATGCGTTTTGTGTTGTGGACGATACTCTTCGTTTCGAAAGCTGTTTTATTCATTGGTCTTCTGCTCCACTTTCATGTTTGCTTCTTTTTCAATTGATGCGTTATCCTTGTGAGACGAGATTGACTTGTGCGATGATGATCGATTCCGGGATGATCCATGATGTTATTGCCCAGTGGGGAAGTCAATTGAGAAGGGTAACACAGGATTGGACCAGCGTGGCACGCTACATCATCCGGGTACGTCCATGATTAGTGATTGATGGGTGTAGTGCCATCTCGAGGCGGCCATGCTCTCCATATCTGGACATGTACATTTGGCGGCTTGGCCGACTGATGCGCGTGCTCTACACGAGCTCGCTAGGTCATCATTTCCATTACCCTCCACCTTCGTGGATCACCCGCCGATGATCGGTGCCATTTTCCACGACCACTTATCCCTTTCGCTTCCATTCTCCCATATGGCGACGCACGTTTTTTCCCGTCTTTGCTAACTTTATGAATTTGCCTTACCTTCTGTGCAAACTACCTTTCCAACATGCCTTCTCCTCGTGTACTTGAAAGAGTATGTTTTGGCTCGATGCCACTTCTAGTGATATCTGCTTGCTAAATTTTTGTCGAGACTTCACTTCTGTCTCTTTAAGTCCTCAGATCTGCGACTCATAGAAGAGTCCTTCGCCTCGGACATGATCCATGGTGCCCAGACCGAACCTTGTTGCTTCTTGGCAAAATTAGTTCTTCAACTCTACTTGATATCTGGTTCTGCTGATATTGGGGTACCATTTCAACGGCGTTGCGCTTTGTCATGCCGGTTTTTCATACCCTGTATGGCTACTCTAGCTTTGCTAAATGCGTCTATCAGACCCTTTGCTTCTTGCAGTCGATTCCCCCCAATCCCTCTTCGCGTTCTTTGATTATCATGATGTATTCTTCCATTCTATTTCTGGCCTACAAATTTCACTCGTTCACACTCGAACTCCCTGGTAACTGATCACATTGACCCGGTAGGATGAAATACGTCAATACTACGTCTCCGTCGTGGAACCCACGCTACACGCAGCCTTTGGCAGACTTCGGCAAGCGGAGGCCGAGTGCAATGCCAATGATGTATTAGGGGGTGAGATTCCACGTCTCGATGAATGCAGCAATGAGTTAAACTCAGTGGAACCCTCGCTTCCTGGGTTTTGTCACGCATACTCCCTCGTGTCCTCTCGCGCGTTTTTGGCGGATGCGTATCATGGTCTTGCGATGGTGCCCGTTGCTGATGCGTGAGTGACTTCAAAGTTCATCTTACTTTTTGAGCCTAGTTCCGTTTTCAATGAATGAATGAGATCATGCATCGCGGAAATCCGCTTCACATTGCACCCATAATAGTGGTAGAGCTTCATGGAGTTATCGTTTCGTCAGATGCAACTTTTCCTGTTAGGTACTTCCTTGCCATTAGGTTGATCGTGGCTTCACTCTCTCCCACCAGTGGCCCAGTGTCATGCTTCTGATAGGCTTCGCGTGCCCCGCATCGTGTTGTCCTCCGGAAGTGCATCAACGACGATGCTTCTATCCGAGTTTCACCGTTATTTTGTTCATTCGCCTATTTATGATATGGGAGTGCTTGTCACTAGTTTACAGGTCTCCACCCGATGTCGGTGCAGTTAGTTCTAGCTTGCTTTGGTTGACGTTTTTGTCTTTCGCAACATCCCGGCGGCAAGTAGTAATATGCTAGCACAACTATAGTTTAGACTGGATCTTGCTTACTCGCCGGCGGCTCCTTACTAGGCCTTACAAGCTCACACTATAGCGAGTGTCAGATCAGGACCTAGTACAGGAGCTAAAAGTCATGGAAGACTTTTTAGTTGGTCCCCACGTGTAGCTTCTGCATGCCATTTACCATGCTACTTTTTCTCAAACTTATCTTCTTTTGGTCTGATTCACATTTTTGCTTCCTCCACTAACAACGTTCTCAATAGCTTCAATCACACCAACGAGAATCATGTGCATATGGAGGTGGGTCTATCAACATTTGGGGCATGGACTTAGGAAATCCGTTCCATCTTGATCCGACATGTCAAGGACACTGTTGCGGGCCGCGTGGCACTGTCGTCTTGCTAACGCCTATTCTTCAGCTTTTCATTTTTCGCAAGGAATGCAAGTTGACATGTTTGTTTTTTAGAGTGACTTTGATGTTTGTGCCGAATGTGGATCTCTAGCGGAGTGCGACCACGATCGCGAGACTCTCACTCCCGTTCCTTCCCGAGGAGGGGCCTGTTCGCTTCCTGGAGTGTGCAAACCTGATTTGGCGCTCGAGATTGATACCCTTGACATGTGTTCTGTTAAACCCATTCTACCTCATTCTGAGGTATTCAACACATATGGATCGCTTTCAAACGCCGAGCTCATTTCCAGGTACGGCTTCACCCTGCCGGAGAACGAATGCGATATCGTTAGTTTGGGTTACGGCTCCTTCTCCGCCTTCATCAACAACCTCATAGATGATGTGGTACACTCTTCCGCCGACTGTGGTAACGATGCCGACATGCAGGGGCGCTTACAGATCCGAGTCAGGTACGGGAACAAGCGAATAGATATGGTGGATGAGCGGTCATGTTTTAATTCCAGAAACTTAAGTCTACCTACGGACTTCCGCGTATTGGGTGACGAACGCGAGATAGGTGAGTACGTTGTAGAACGGCATGCTCCGTATGTTTACCGCATCCGCGTAGCAGACGACTTTACGATCCGATTCTTACGAATATATTCGCATTTTGCCAGACATTGGACGACAGAACCCAGATGGGACGAGATGGGTGACAATGTAATAGTTTATAATTCTCCGTCGATCTCGTCACCACGGCCTCCACCAGATGATCCAGATTCTGCCCTTCCCGAAGCCTTTAACATTAACAGCGAGGGAAAGATGACGCATACCCTGTGGCTTTTCTGCGTTCTATTTGCCACCTGCATATGTTCGCCGGGAGACATGACAAATCTTGCTCACCTGATTTTTCCGGATGACAATGAGCCGCGTCAATCGTTTGTGGAAGATGTGAAACGGTACCTTGTGGATGTACAGGATCATATCGACAACGCCAGGGAAACGGGGGATGATGACGAAGAAGTCTCGGTCTCTACATGGTCGGACCCTCCCTCGGATACTCGGGACGATTCCTATTTCCATGTCCCCCAAAGCCATTTGACGGCCGAGACCGAAACCGACATTGGCGGAATATCCAAAGACGAAAACAATGTTCTTGCCAGCGCAAAAGATAGTGCCTGTTTCATATCTAGTCTCCAGCCAACCAGTAGTTCTCTGGGTCTCGACCTTCCCATTGAGATTAGACCCGACGGAGACGCATGCGTCCCTGCCCATACTTGCACCACAAGTAAGCTAACGTCTCCGTTATACGATGCCCATGCCGTATTACCTCGAGCTCAAACGTTGTTTACTAGAAATGCCTTCGGCACCTTCAAGCGCCTCACAAGCGGTGGTCTGGAACGGCCTTCGGAGAAGATCTAATGTGGAAGAAGAGCGGCCCCAAAAACGTATGCGGCACACCAGTCCCCATGCCGTGGATAGCCAGGAGGATCTTCCCTTCGATATATTTGGTAAGTCAAGGCGTACAGCCGCTCCGGGTGAAGAATAGTCAGCACTGGAAATTCAACTACCATCACAGGATGTGGAGAGGCGACAAACGCCCATCAGGTAGCACAGACGCTTGCTCTTATCGTGGTACACCTTTGCCAGCACAGGGTCGATCCTGCGCACGTATCCGATGTGAACGCAGGAAATTTGACTGCAGCGGAACTCGGAGAGCTCCTAGATGTAAGTTCCCAAACATCTTCCTGAATTCTTAGTTCATGTGGGGGCACGTCTCGTGAACTATTGGCACGCTGCCCTGTGTGGGTTCGCAAGTCATGGGGCTCGCCCTGATGATTTCTTGGCAGCGTCCGGGGGAGTTGATTGCGGAGAACGGCGCGTCAGAGAAGCAGCTTTTTATCTTCTTGTGTTGCGTCGTCATGGTCTTTCTGTGATTTGCGAGGATGGACGGCATGACGATCGAGACATGAGCTGGCGGGCTTCTCTTCATGTTTTTGTTTCCGTTTCTGTTTCATATTATCGTTGGCACGGCGAATCCGTCTTCACACGGTCAATCCAGTGCATGACTTGAAGCCTCATACTCTGCTCATTTGGGTAGGGTAGCCTATTACTTCCTTTCTACCAAGAATTTGGCTTGAGCACCGCGCGTACTTGCCCCTTTTATCTGCAGGGAAACCCCTTCCTGTGTGTGTGTGTGAGTTCCTCTCTCGGATAGGACCTTGATCGGCGTTCTCTCATCTTTCACTTGCTGTGGAGCTGTGGAGCACGGCACAAATTTTGGGATACCCTGGATGCACTCCCGCTGTTCTCTTTCTGGCTGCTCAAATTTTCATGACTTGAGCCATATGACGAGGCGGCAGCCGACTTATTTTCGGTTCCCACCCTCCAAGCACGACGCGTTCTACTTATATTTTTGTATTGATGAACATGACGTCGCTGAATCTTATTACTTCTCCATTGTTGTCCTAGAATATACTATTCTCAAAGAGGTTTACTTCTCGTTCTTGCATTGGTCGCTGAGGACGCTGGGCCCTCTGCGGACCTACGTTATGTACTCAGCGCATCGCTTTATAGCCTACTTCTCGCCCTCTTTGCCGTTAAAAGACGAGATGCTAAACCCCTGTCCTTTTGTCCTCAATTAGGTAACACCAATGCATATGCATCGGACCCGAGTGGCAATGCTACTAGCGCTGAACGAGAAGTCTATTCTGGAGAGCTGCGCATCCACTTGGGGTGCTGTCCTGAAGAACATTCATGATATCAACAAGGAATGACCATACAAGCTCCAGCGGACCATACAGTTGACGATAAGGTATGTGTTGCAACAGCTATCAATGATATACTATCACGCTGAGCCTGATCCAGTCATTAGGAAGCTTCTGTGCGGGCAAGTACGTCCGCATGGATGTATTTGGCAAGAGAGGTGCATGATAGGACGATATATGTGGCCCGCTGGAGATAATACGGCGGGAGCGCAAATTCTAATGCAACCTTGACATGATGAACTCCCTACGCGATGCACTAGAACCAAAAAAGATGATCAGATCTGCGCATGGATGACAAGTTCAGCATGATCATCCGACGGAAGAAGCCAGCCTTGAACGGACGTACGACCTATGTGCGCCTGTTCAATAAGTGCGTCGGAACCGGAAGTAAGATCGTAACGTCTTGTTAGGGTCTTCGGAGTGTTCTACTGAGCATTTCTATTAGCTGACGCATCTGTTGATCGAGAGTAAGGCCCTGGCTATACAGAGAACGTAAGGAGCTTAGCGAATGAGCTAATAGGTCACCCGACGATCAAACAATAGTCACAAACTCTCGTATCATATCACACCACTAACTTCTCGTAGCATAGCAATGAAATAGAGTCACATCATGAAGTGACTCAGAGCCAAGATTGGCCACACATATAATAATATGGGTGGGAAGACAAGGATACGTATAGGGTTATATGGCGATGTTGTGGGCTTATATAAAGATCAATGGCGTCCCTAGCGCCACTTGGAAATGTATTTGGCTTTGGGGGTTGGCTTGATGTGGCGGCGTGTTATGATATCAGTGAATGGGGGTGGTGGCAGAGATGATGTGTGTGTGTATGCCGTATCTATCCAAGACCATCAGTAGGCTGATTCCGGCGGTCAATGAAGAAAGCTTCAAGGAAGAAGTCAGGTCGAGTAATAGATCTATGTTTGTCGACTTGGGAAGGTGGCGGCGGCAGTGGGAGAAAGAAAGTCACACGGAGAAGGGAGGTTTGATGATGACCCAGGATACGTATTGGTAGGATAAGGGCGGGAGCGCAAATGAAGGGGGGACCTTCTTTTCATGAAGTGCAGTGCCAAAGGATACGTGCATGAAATGATTGCGCGTGTTTGGAATGAGTGAGGAAGCGAGAGCATTTGGAGTTAAACTCAAACCTTGCTGCTAGCTGCTGCCATCAAGGGTGCAACGCGTATGACCAAAAACACTTTGTAAGTTCTACGTGTACAACGTTGTTTTAGAGGAGCGAGACTCATCCGAGTTGAACTAGGTTCCGCCAGTCAAGGTTACACAGATACGGCAAAGAGCTAACCCCAAGGTTCCTGTCACAGGTCAGGGTGCTGAGATGATTACTTGTTACGGGGCTTTGTTCGTTTCCCTATAGCCGGTGCCGGGATGGTCGTACCTGTGATGGCATGGTGGTCTTGTTTTCTTGTAGTATTCATTCTGGCTTATTCTCACTCGTAGGAGGGAGGAAGAGGAGAAAGAGGACCTCACCGGTCACTCAATGGGCGCCGGGGAGTGCCGACTGGAAGTGATTCCACGATAGTTTTCTTATCTTCGTTGAAAGCGCGCAGAGTCACTGAGAAGAAATCATAATCAAATTCTTTTCTTCAAATTTGACAAAAACAAAATAAACAAGTAAAATAATTACTTTAATTAACTCGTTTAATAAACATCAGATCTCAGATCCATTTCCAAATTGCGTCGTGAACGAAAGAAGGGACCTTATAAGAACGTTTCACAAGAAATGAGGGGAAGCAGTTTGCTTTGCCTTGCCCTACTCAGAAACTCAAGTCCTTCCCAGAGCTCAGCTCAACTCTCCTCTTCCTCCTCTTTTTCATAACTTACAAAGGGATGGACGTCGACTGGTGTCTTTCGTGTGATCGCAGAATCGTAATTATCAACTTTCTCCCTTCTACTCGATCATATCTAACCTCCAACTACAGGATGGCGTAACATCTGCCTCTGGTCCATATTGTTCCCCAGAGTGCCTTTCCTATGCTCAACCAGCATCCTCTTCACCCAAGCTCGCTACCCAAGTAGCTGCCACCCCTGCACCCAATACTCACCGCATCCACCAATGGGCTGCGGCTATCCCGCCTCACGTTCCTGCTGGCGCACCCTCCTGCCCCTTTGCAGAGGCTTTCGAGCCCACATCAGCATCGACCCAGTTTTCTCGTCGTTCCCCCTCACCTCGTGCTCGTTCTCAGGCAACGCCCAAATTGATCGAGCGTACCTCTGCTACAGCAGCTGTCCCCACTCTCTGTGTATCATCACCAGCACAAGTTCGGCCTCTTCCCCCCGCACGCAGCACGCACTGCGCTTACATTAATGGCAATACGGCGTCCAACACCACTGCCAGCATGAGCGAAGCAAGCACCTCCCTTACTAGCCTCTTGAGTGAGCCGCTCGTGGCTACTCCTGACGAAGATTCTCCCTTCGGTATCGGTGCTTTCGTTCGCTCCTGGGTTCACCGTGATCGCGAACATGCCAAGTCGAGTAATGAAGAAGTCGTAGAGGATATTAAAACATATTTTCCCCCTTATTTATGCGCCAAGACATCTCCTCCCCGCTCAAAAAAAGCCAAGATTCACCCTGCTACGCCTGCACCCATTGCACGACCAAAATTCCCCGTTATGAAAGCTGCAATTTTTAATGACCGTGACCGTTCAACACCCACCGACTCCCACACACCTACACCTGTCGTCTTCCCTTCTTGCCGTGCTGCTGAGCTTGACTGGGATGATGACGACGATGATAGTTTCGTCCCACAGGCTCAGTATCAGCACTTCCAGCAGGGGTATGAGTCCAAGGCGCGTTCTCCGTCGTTTTCCTGTTCTGCGTCCTCCGGTACCGGTTCGTCTATCCTCCTGATGGCACCGAAGCGATTGGATGTCCGAGGTCGTCGTTGCGGTCGTGCTATCGCGCCATGAGGTGCTGCGCGTCTTTTTCATTACCACTATCTCCCCCTTCCTCAGCATATTCGCAAAATCGCCTCGTGCCAATAGGCGCTTCATTCACGCAATTGACTTATGGACTTCGATATCCCCCAAAATCAGCACATGGTTGTTCGCTATAACTCCTTTCAAAACCCCAGGAACACTCCGTGTATCTTGTACACCACTTTTTTTTCCTCTCGACGTTGTTTGACAGCGCCCGCACTCACAATCTTTGAAATTCCTCGTTGTTCTGTTCGCACACGCTCGTTCTCACTCCTCATACACTGTATATACATGCATATACACATAGATAGCTCGTTGCACTTGCATACACACGTCTCACCTGGATATCGTATTGATTTATTGTACAATAGAGTTGGTGCAAGTCGAGTGGAATTCATCGTTTGAACCAAATGGAGACGTATACGTGGCGAGTGATCTGCAGTTTGTGCCAGCGGAACATCATGGGTTGTGTCTAGCTGTCATTGTGCACAGCTTGTAGAAAAATTTCATTCAAGTCTAAATTGAATGTCCGGCCCTGGAGCTTGTTGAAAGCATCTTGCGGGTTCTTGCCCTTGACAGTGACAGTAGCATCGCTCTTCGCGGGAGAGGCCAGTTTCCGGGGACATAACCGCGTGGGTCCATGTTAGACAAACGCGGGGTTTCGCTGTCAACGACACAAGCGAGGAAATCGCCGTTAAGGTGTAAGACTTGGAGAATAGTATCGAGCTAGGATGATGAACGGCTGTGGTAGTAGTCTGGGCCGGTCTAGACCAACGGGGAGACGAGTACGTATAAAAGTGCGAGGGAGTCGCAAGTGAGCTGACAGACTGCGGCAGGGAAAGTGTGACAGGAGCGTAGGGCCCAGAGCGTCCCTTTGCTTCTTTTCGTAAGACGCGTACTCGATGATTTACTCGCATCCTGCTCATTAATAATAATAATTAAATGTGTAGCTAGTCACTCGCTCTGCTGGCAGGGTACTTTGATCTCGGAATTCTCCGTCAAGAAGTCTGTTCTCGAAAGTACTATTCATATCTGGTCACCGAGATCCCGCGTGGTTCATCTGCGTGTTATGACTCTGCATACACGGCAAGTTACGCTTCGCCAAAGTACTTGGACATCGCGGTGCAATGTATCGCGGTGGATGTCCCATAATATGAGTTTATTTTTGGTACCCATTGGTCGTAGCCCGGGAAGATTCCGAGGGCTTTCATTGAATTAATGAAACTTAACCGAGTTAGCGTCTTGCTATTTCACAGACTCAGACACTCCTTGCTTTGAGTTTCAACTCTCTCTCGCTTTTTTCTGATTGCCAGCATGCTACACCGATATTCTTGGATACACCCAGACAGCTAGTATGCACCACGCTGCACGTGCATCAAACCTCTTCTCCCACACAAGACTGCGCATAGAAACCAAATCTGCACTGGTTAGCCATCCCATTCATACCATTAGGTGTCATCGGCCCGTTAGGAACTCGGTCTAGTCGGAAATCCACACTGCGGGCCGTCATCACCTTGTTTAAAGCGCCCTCCCGTACCGCATTGCGTATGAAGGCATCTCTCGCCACTCGACGGACGAAGATCTGCAGATCACGACTCGCTCGAGTACTTATCTCTCGGGTTCGTCATACACGTTCGTTTTTGAGTTTGTGCAAATTAGGAAGATTCTTCGCCGATGGCGGGATCACAGGCTTTTCACTGAGCCGAGCAAGGATGTTGTCATCGTGCATGTTTCTGTTTCTGAAGAATGGAAACTCTTGACAGGTGAGCACGGCATACATATTTATGCAGATCAAAAGCGCTGCCGGGTGACCGTCAAAGGTTAATTGCCAAGCTACTTGATCTGAGGGGGTTAGCTAAGTCTGAGAATGCTCCCGCTCGTGATGCGCAGCTAGCACCAAAGCTAGTGTCCCGCCAACCGGTGGCGCCGGGGGCGGGTTAACTGGATCTTATTTCAGTATTATTGGAATACCCCTTGCCTACGCCGACCCCGGAGGCGCTCATCTTTGTTCCTACCATATTGGGTTCGAGGCCTAACTAAATGTTAGAACATGCTAGAAACACTAAGAACATTCAAATTCGTAAGTCGAAAGATAACCGTTGTAGGGCGCTACCACGACGTTATCATCATGGTCGCAATATGTATTGACAGTTGGACTATAGGTGGCATAACAGGATTGGACAAAATCAGCGTTGCGAAGAACGTTTCAATGGTGGAACATTCTTGATCTCGTCGTCAATCAAATGTTGCAATAACCTCCATCGCCAAGCGTCTGGTGTGGGATCCGCGATATATACGCCAATCCTTTTGATGACTCTGGAGTCAGCAGATAAGCAGCCGCGGGCTTATTGTATATGGCCTAAATGATGTCACGACATATGATCGCACGACCAAGGCACCAGCGACACTTCAGCACAATTGTTTGGGGCGGAGTTTATCCGTTTCCGTGTACCAAGCTCCGGCCTGCCGAGCAAAGATTTGCGCCAGCTGGCCGCAGCACCATGTCCGACAATCAGGGCTTGGACATGAGTTCAGGGAAGAATACCTATAGACTCATATCCTCGCATGTCATATCCACCTCTTATCGCACATCCTTACGCGACCCCGCACTAAATTGTGGTGCCTTGAAACTTCATGACGCTCGTCAATAACGTTTAACACGTGTAGAGTCAGCAGTGGCAGATTATACATGTGTATATGGTTAAGCACGCCTGTGTGGAGAACATTCGATACTGAACACACTAGCCCTGACTGGAAACTACTGCACACCTGGGAATTATTCAACCTCTGTTCCGGTAAGAAAAGCGATGGCCGGTGCTGCCTTGAGAGTCGGGGGCTATAACATGTCGCACCCGGACCTTGGTAAAAAAAAAACATTGATTATCGTACAGGCGATAGTCAGGAGACGCGGCGCATCAAGCTGCTCCAGCCACATGACAGTAAATTGCGCCTCTGATCGCACCTACACAACCACTTTGTTCAACACAAATAAACATAAACCGACAGAGCGATTGACGCGCAACATACGTCGTCATCATTCTTCGTAACCCGACGGCAGGAGGCCCGGAGCTTGCTCGAGGGGAAGTTCTCTAACACAGCATGTTAAGTCTCAACCTAAAATTCAAAGAATTTGAACTTTTGCGGTACTTGGCAAGTGGGTTACAAAGTCATGTGCGCATTTCACGCGATCTTAAAGAACTTCCGCAGTCGTCGAAACTAGTCCACTTTGGGATCAACTGGGAAGAGTGGTTAGTTAACGTTCTTGGGGTCATTGATAACGCCAACAAACTTGATGATGATTGCGGTAGAGCGAATAGCAGCGGAACAAGAAGTCGGTCGGCTGCTTCAAACGGGCCGGCGGCGTAGTGCATGCCGTTGCGACCTCGTAGGTCACGATGCCTTCGTCTATCAGCCGCAGCTATCTAGTTGCGGATTGCTAGGCAGTCGACATTTGGCATGAACGATTGTCGCGAACATAGCCGGATCCGACTGAAACAGTAGGTCATACGCTTGAATCATGCGTGGTTTGCGGAAAGAACCTGTCCCGGAACGATCATTGATCCCAAAGCACACGTGAGACGACGGCCAGCTCAGCGAGATAAAGCTCCCGCCTGGAGTATGAGATACGACAAAGAACCAGGCCAGCGATGGTAATGAAGTATCGCTCAAGGCGAGAGGGCGATAAGCAATCAATCAGACAAAAGAAGAAGATGTCGTGTTTTTGCCTAGTACTTCGACCGGGCCCGGAAGTGGCGCTGATACAAGGGACATGATCTGCATCATGATCAGTGTGTCGGAGGCCGCATTACGAACTAATGTTCCAAGTCCAGGGCTGACCACGAGATGCGGGGTAGATGAACTTGAGGTGTGACTTTGTATACATGATACACTCGTATATGGCAATAGAAGGGCTTGTGGTGCTGCGCACTACTACTTATGTCTGGTACTCGCAAACGGTACAGCGCTGATAGAAGGATCTACTGTTCCACGGCCTTCGGCCGCCATACAATGTGAAGCACTGAAGACTCGGGGTAATTTCGGGGACGGTTGGGAACAAAGAAGTTGAACTGACAATGTTCATACCAAGGCACTCAGGGGGGAAGAAGTGGTAGCAGACACCACAGCTGCTAGTCCTAGTCAGGATGAGGCTTGTATGTAAGCACTGCGTAATAACGCGAATTCGGGAATTGCAGACGATAAGGAGCGTCTCTGGTATCTAGGGTGCATCAAGTAGATGAATACTTGTATACATTAACTCATTCTCTATGCCCAAACTTAGTCTCTCCTGTACTAAGAATACAAGCCCACTAATAGGATCCAATTTCCAATGATAGTCAGAACACCCTTCCAGAAGTTCATTTTTTGTTAGAGAGCAACTCAGCTTTACAAAGAGAACTCTCAAAATTTGTACATTCTACAACCGGCAATATGATAAGACTCCTTCCGGCAACCGATATGAGACGGTGCTGTTGGTTTGTCAGTGAAAAAGTACAACAACAAACCTTTCGGAGTTAAGAGGTCTCGAAGGTACATGTCGCGAACGTACGAACATTTTGGCAAAACTACTTGCCCTGCTTTCACCTGATCCGCGCACAACAAATATGATCAAACAACAAGGAGCAGTAATAACTTTACTGGGGAGGTGGTTGGAACCTGGAAATAAATTGAAATTAGCAATGCAACTAAAATAAAATAAAGCATAATACCCAGGGGGAGGGGGTCCACCAAAGCCTGGTGGAGGAGGGAATGATCCACCTGGAGGGAAGCCAGGAGGACGGAAGCCAGGAGGGGGGCCTGGCATGCCTGGTGGGGCAAAGGGAATTGGAGCACGACCCACAGGAGGCATACCCACTAAATACATAATAAGCGACATATTTTCGTCGTGTATCAATCAACTTACTAGGAGGCATCATTCCCATTCCACGACCTGCAGGCATTCCGCGACCAGGACCAACAGGCAGCTGAATGCAACACACGAATAAGATCTTAACCGAAAAATTAGCAGAGGATGACATACCGCATTCTTTTTGTCCTCGTCTACAACTGGCGGAGGCCCCTCGACGCTTAAGCTGACGACTGTCTCCCCTCGCAAAATCACGAGACCCAAGGTGCGCTTCATCTCCTGCTCAGCAGGTGCCTCGCTTTCTCCGGCTTTTTTCTTGGGCCGAACGCGTCTGAACTCTTCACAGTCCGCCAGGACAAGGTTCATATGCCTATCGAATGCAAGCATCTGACCTGTCAGCGCGCGTCCGTCATTGATGGTCACTTTGAGCCTCCAATTGATGAGGCCTAGCATTTTTCCTCCTTTGGATTTTGGTGGGGGCTGAGGCACAATCATCAGATAACATACCTGCAAGTTCTGATCAGGACTTACCATGATGGTCGATTAGGATTATGGGCTGTAGATGCAGACGATGACAAGAAACGAGATAGAGTTGGCGGGCCACTGTGACAAACAATGCCAAATAGCTCAGGTTGACAGCTGCGTTGCGCCAACGATTCACTTTGTACTAATTCACGGTTTGCATTCCATGCGGTTTCTGTTCATAAGATTGCCAAGCGTTTGCGCAATCTCTATCACGACCGAAGCTTGAAGCTTCTGAAGGATCATGCTGACAGACTTGTGTTTGAGCATTTGTAAGTCACCGGTCATTTGTCAGATACCGATCATAGCGTCGTCGGTAAAGTCGTCCGACAGTGTCTATCATAAAATCGCAATGTATATATGGATATAGCATCTCATTCCTCCGACTGTCGTCGATATGTCAAGAATCCGTACTGCTTTTACCGTCCTGATGGGTGCGTTCACCTGTTCCTCATAATGAAATTGCACTGACCTCAGGGCCCTCGCAGACATACCCACTCCTATAGTAGCTGCGCCCATGGCAGGGGCTAGCGGTGGCGCATTGGCAGCTCAGGCATCCGGTGCCGGAGCATTTGGATTTATCGGAGCAGGTGGAGTCCGTCGCACCTTTTACGATTAACTTGCTAAACAGATTATCATCTAGGATACTTGACCTCTTCTCGGATTCAGGAGGAGCTATCCTTAGCCCGCGCGCAGCTTCTCCTATCCGATGCAGATCCCCTTCCAATCGGTGTCGGATATTTGGCTTGGCAACTGGACAAAGATCCCGCTTCCGTTGGATTGCTCGACGTTTCCCTTTTGAACAGGGTTCAGGCCATCTGGCTCGCCTTCGGAAACAATATAGGTCGATGGATCGACCACATTCGCTCTTATGATGCGAGGTCCGGGCGAGGACAGAAAACCCTGATATTTGTACAAGTTTCCTCAGTGAAAGAGGCTCTCATTGCCATCCAAGACTGGAAAGTTGACGTTTTAGTAGCTCAAGGTTTTTCCCCTACCTCCTTAAGCTTGGTTTGAACTTTCCTCTCATGGTCAACGTCGCAGGATCTGAATCTGGTGGCCATGGGTATAGCGCCGCTCCGCCGCTTCTCACGCTGGTGCCCTCTATCTTGGCAGTATTGCCCAAAGAGGGCCCGCCACTTCTAGCAGCCGGCGGATTGTCAACGGGTGGTCACGTTGCTTCTTTGCTTACGCTCGGAGTCTCTGGCGCGGTGCTCGGCACGAGATTTTTGATGACAGAAGAGAGTTTCTATAATGAGGTGCAGAAGAACATACTCGTTAAGGCCAGTGGCAATGCCACAGTGCGTACGACGGCATTTGATCACGCCAGAGGAACTCTGGAATGGCCGGAAGGCGTTGACGGTCGTGCCATTTATAACAAGACAGTGAAAGACGTAGACGACGGTGTCGATATCAAAATAGTTCGAGAGAATTTCAATAGGGCAACACAGGATAAGGATCCTGATCAAATTTTGGTTTGGGCGGGAACTGGAGTTGACTTGGTCACAGAAATTCAGACTGCGCAGGTCAGTTTGACTCGCTAAATTGCAACGTGCCGGCCTGTCAGTTGATTCTTGTTTGTATAGGATGTTGTTCGGGAGCTCCATGCTGATATGATGAAACATTTAAGTTTTGTGTCGACACTTATTGCCACCTAATGACAAACACGTTGGTTCCCGTGAACGTTTTCTTTCCTATTCGGACAAGTCGTTTCGTCTGATGCACGTCCCTGTGGTACTTAACGTTTGGAAACATAACTGTCAGGAACGCCATTGATTCCCTCGGTAATAGTGTGATATGTGTTCCATGGACTATGATACAACTAATCGTGACAACAGTTCGCGTATGCTCCAGAAGATCCTTGCTTTAGTGGACGATTTCCACTGTCAAGTCGCCCTGATTGATGGAGTCACCTATACAGATTTGTTAGACTAACTCCGTGCTCCGGAGAAACGAATGAGTCTTGCCTTCATTGACCACCACGCGTTTAATATGACCAGAAACAGGTGCAGTAACAGCAGACTCCATCTGCGGTGAACCAAACGTCAGCAGGTCGTCATCTTCAAAGCATTTCACACATACCTTCATCGCACTCAGTACTGGACAAAAAAAAAGCTCACGTCAGATAGAACATCAAAGAACGCCGATCATCCTTACCGCAGAGAGGGTCGCCCTTCTTAATCTCGTGGCCCTCCTTCACTCTGACCTCAACTACGACACCTGACATGGGTGCACCCACTGATCCAGGGTCAGAAGTCGCCTTCTCCCGCGAGACTGTTTCTACTGCGGAATTCTTGTCCTCGACAGACACAGCCCGAACCTGCGGCACAGGGGAAATGTCAGCAAAATCTTCGCATGTCATACTATTGTTATCGACCTCGCCGTTAACTTCGAACCAGACGTCACGTTGGGCACGTCCTTCCACAACAGGCCCAACGGCCATCAGGCGGATAATCAGAGTCTTTCCTTTTTCGATCGAGATGTGCATCTCCTCTCCAGTAGCCGGTCGCCCCAAGAAGTACCGCGTGGGAAGAACGCTGGGGTAAGGATAAGTCCATCTTTGAACATCACACGGCATCATGAGGTTTACCTGAGATCTCCGTATTTCTCAAGGAAACCCTGGTATTCTTCGAAGACCTGACGGAGTTAACATGACTTCAGAATATGCATCGCGGGAGTGCAAGGCACGACATACTTTGGGGTACATGACATATGAGGTAACATCTGCATCCGCAATATGCTTGCCAAATTTGCTGCGGAGCTCTGACTTGATCTTCTTGAAGTCCAAGGGTTGCATAGTCGCACCAGGACGCCCATCGATTCTTGGCTTGTTTCTAATGATATTCGAACGAAGTGGCTCAGGGAAACCTCCCACGGGTTGTCCAAGATAACCCTGGAAGAACTCGACAACAGAAGAGGGGAAGTCAAGCTGGTCTGCACGTTGAATAACATCCTGTTTGGAGAACGAGTTCGACGTCATCCATTGCGCGAAATCGCCAACTACTTTGGATGAGGGCGTAACCTAATAGTTCTGTTAAGATTTGCACGGAGTTAAACAGGTAATTGCATGCCTTGATAATATTGCCACACTGAAGGGAATGATTCAGATGGAGTGGGAAATGACGCGCAGACAAACTTACCAGTTCGTTGGCCTCGATGTATTTCTGCTTGATTTCTGGGATTCGAAGGTCGGAAAACGTAAGTTACTGGCAAGGAAGATACTCACGGGTCCACTGTGTGCCGAGGCCTAATTGTGACGCTTGGAACTATAGGGTCGATCAGCCGCCGAATCTAAATACATTCCGGACACCACGCTCACCATGAGATTCGTATATTGACCTCCTGGCATTTCGTGATCAAAGACACTTGAATCCGAGGCCCGGACATTGGCTTCGAAGCAACTGTAGAGCATGCGAACCTGGCTCCAGTACAAGTTTAGCGCTTGGATGTCGGCGTAGCGGATGCCCGTCCCTAATCGCGTTTGCTCAAGGGCCATGCACACGGCTCCCATTGAGGGCTGCGATGTCAGACCAGACATACCTATCGGAATTGTTGAACATCTGGCTCATCATTTGCAGATGTCAGCAACTTACTATCAATGGCAACATCAACGACATCAGCACCAGCCGCGGCGGCCGCGAGCATGCTAGCTGTTGCGATTCCAGCCGTGTCATGGGAGTGAACGTGGATTGGAATGTCAGGGTACTTCTCCCTGATCGCGCCGATAAGCCTACAAATGTGTTAGTGTTTGCAAGTCGGACAAAAAGGTGTTTGTTGATGTACAATTTCGCAGCTTCAGGCTTCAACAAACCAGCCATGTCCTTGACACCAAGGATGTGAATTCCCTCTTCCACTAGTTGGTCAATGAAGTCAAGGTAGTATTTCAATGTGTATTTGGTCTCCTTCGGGCTTGCGACGTCACCGCTGTAGCAGACAACAGCCTCAACGACACCCCCTGCCTTTTTGGCGGCATCGATACCGAGTCTCATCTAAAATGAAAGTGAGTACAGTCTCATGAGAGTTTGGTTCACTTCGTCTTACGTTCTCTATGGGAATCCGTCAGCAATCAAGACTATGCGGTAAAGGTATCACTCTCACCAAAGTAGTTCAGTGAGTCGAACACTCGGAAGATATCAAGACCATTCTCAACCGCCTTTTTCGAGAAGTCATAGATCGCGTTGTCGCTATGCGAAATCAGCCGGACATTAGGCGGGAATGAGAAAGCACGCACGGGTAGCTTGTGTATCCGACACCGTTGGCTCCACGAACGAGAGCCTGGAAGGGAATGTTGGGTACCAGCTTACGCAGGGTGCGCTATTTAAACGTCAGTGCAAGCTCCTTCAACACACCACAAATCGCGTACCAGACGTTCCCAAGGATCTTCATACAAGAAGCGCATGGCGACATCGAAGGTGGCGCCACCCCACATCTCCAAACTGAATGCGTTTGAGAGAGCATAGCTGGTCTCAGTGGCGATGTTGACCATGTCGATTGTCCTAAGGCGAGTAGCGAGCAACGATTGATGGGCATCACGCCAAGTGGTGTCCATGATGAGCGTTCCAGGGTATTCGCGGACGGCCTTTGCGAAAGCTTCGGGTCCTTTCTCAACGATAATGTTGCGCCATCCAACCTCACAAGGGAATGTAGTGTCAAGGGGTGTGCCATCCGGACCGTCACGGCTCTCAAATTTGGGAACGACGACCTCATCCTTGAGGCCTGGCTCGCCGGTCTGACCTTTGATGGAACTTCCATTGACTGCAAGGTCACCAAGGTATGCAAGGAGTTTCTGTGCACGGTTCTGGCTCTGCACCAGCTTGAAGAGCTCAGGGGTGTCATCGATGAACTGATGTAATACAAATGTTCAAAGGTGCGTCTTATGGTCCTTGCATCTGAGTAATGGACTTACAGTAGTCCATGTCTTGCCGCCAATGAAGACATCGTGGGTGAGGAGACGGAACAAGAAGGGAATGTTTGTCTATTGGCATTGTCAGACACATTTCCATATGAACACTAAGAGGTAAATTACCTTGACACCGCGAATACGGAACTCGACCAAGGCACGCAACATCTTTCTGCGGGCAACTTCGTAGGTTGTGCCACTTACAGTGCATTTCACCAACAGACTGTCATAATGGGGCTGTCGGGGGAAATGTATTCAGAATGACTCCGAACGTAGGATACGATTGGACACATACCGTGATCTGTGCACCTGCAAAGCCAGAGGACGCGTCGAGACGAACACCATTTCCACCAGCACTGCGGTACACCTCGATTTTACCAGTATCGGGCTGGAAACCAATAGCCGCATCCTCCGTAGTAACACGACACTGGATCGCAAACCCACGACGGGTGATGGCCTCCTGAGTCAGACCAAGCTGAGGTAGGGTAGCACCGGCAGCAATTTGGATCTGGGCCGCAACAATGTCGATACCAGTAATCTCCTCTGCATTCCGAGTAAGTAATGCTAGAGCCACTCTAATTCATATCTGGAAATCGTACCAGTGATGGTGTGTTCGACTTGAATACGGGGATTAATCTCAATGAAGTAGTGCCTTCCCATCTGATCGACAAGGAACTCCGCGGTTCCAGCATTCCTGTATCCGACACTCTTCGCGAGCTTAATCGCGTCCGACAAAATGGCCTGACGCACTTCCTCGGGGAGGTGGGTTGCCGGTGCGACCTCGACAACCTTTTGGTGACGTCTCTGGACGGAACAATCACGCTCAAACAAATGAATCGTGTTGCCAACACCATCGGCAAGAATTTGGACTTCGATGTGACGTGGGCGCTCAAGGAAGCGCTCGATAAAGACAGTACCATCTCCGAATGCTGATTTAGCTTCGGATACAGCACGCTGGAACGCGTCTTTGAAGTCCGATTGCTCGCGAACAACACGCATTCCGCGGCCGCCACCACCCATAGCAGCCTTAATAATAACTACATGCGGCAAAATGGCATCAGAAGGAAAGCGAAAAGGAGAATATCGACGGACCTGGGAAACCGTATTCTTTGATGAATGCATCGCCATCCGTGTACGAGTCAACCGGGCCAGGTGTACCAGGAACAACTGGTACACCGACCTTCATAGCTTTATGGGACAAATCCAATTAGCATATACGAACCGCTTCTCGACGCACTATCACCCACCAAGTGTACGCGCTTTTGTCTTGTCGCCAAGACCATCGATAACCTCGGGCGATGGTCCGACAAATGCAATCCCGGCCTGTTCGACTTTGCGAGCGAATGTAGCATTTTCTGATAAGAAACCGTACCTGGACAACCATCAGCCAAATATAGTGGAGATATTCAGGGAGCATACCCAGGGTGAATCATATCAACCCCATGTTCAAGAGCGATGCGGATGATATCTTCTTGGGCAAGGTATGCTCCAACGGGGGTCAACCCCCTGCCGACTTGATATGCTTCATCGGCCTGATTGGTATCTGATGAGCGACATTCGATAGATTAGATATCGTATCGTTCAAATACCTTTTGGCGATGAGCCGAGAGACGATCCTCAAACGAGTAGATCGCGACGGTGTGCATAGCGAGCTCATGAGCGGTACGAAAGACTCGGATAGCGATTTCCTATGAATGAAAGATCTAAGCGACAGAAGACGTTCAGATCAACAGATCAAAGCGCACACCACGATTAGCGACAAGAATCTTGGTGAGAGGACCACTATGACCAGCGGATTTCCTTCTCATAGTTTGAATAGAGTGGACTGGCGTGCCGGGGGCGCTGGGCGTCCCCACGAACGTATGTGCCAACCTTGGGGGGTGGAGCGGTAACTGAGTCGAATCAGCCATGATGATGGTCACTGGTTGAAAGTGAAATGAATGCTAAAGCAAAGTGGGGGATATTTAAGAGCTTGGGCGAGTCAGGGATGTGGTGGGATGGTAGGGACAAGACAAAGCTGTTCAAACTTCAGGGATTTTGATTATCACCAGTTTCGCAGCCTAAAGCATCTGATATCGGACCATATGAAATCAGGAGAGGCCGTAATCATGCCATAATCCGCAGTGATCCGTCCGCATCCCCCACAGCATCATGTATCTTTGTTTCGCTGGCACGTTTATCTCAGACCAACGTACGGACTTAAAGTGGCTTACTACCCCACGTTCTGACTCTTAACTCCATCACTGCGGCCTGTCATCAAGTTGGCATTTATTCGACAGCTCGCAAAAAACCGCACTAATATGAGCCCTGACGTACGTGACTCCATTGACCGGCACTCCGTCTAAATTCTCGGGATATACAAAAACATGATGAAGGCACTTGCCGACGGTCTACCTGTTCGACAGGGGTATGATAGTGGTTGCTTGAGGCCGGCTCTCCATCTTCTTCTGGTTGTTCTTCGCTATCGCATATACAATCCCTGCAAAGAACCCCATTCCGATCGCCGACACCGATCCTACTGTTGCTACATCACCAAAGAAGAGCATACCTGAAGCCGCAACAGGGAGTTTGTTGAGGGCTCCGACCATACTATAGTCGTCATTATTAGCTGCAGTATTCTGAGAGTACTGAAAGCCCTGTATCCATACCTATAGGTGGTACTACTCGTAGTGCGCACACACCATGCCGTAGAATATGAGATTCCAACTGCCGCAGCACCCGAAAATGCGATAGCGGACAAAAGAACGTTGCGTGTCTCGAGTGGGCTGGATCAGGCAAGCGTCAGTAATTATTTTGGGATCTCGCTGGGTGATTGAGCGACGTACAAATTTCTAACCAGGTTCTCTGAGCCCCAATCCTCCACAACAATGGAAAACACGACCAAGACGGGAATTGATAACAAGTTATTATAGAACATCGAATCCCAATCAGAAAAGCCAGTGACTTTTATGCGCTTGCGCATCAGAAGAACCTAGGCAACGCGGCCAACATTCAGCTCAGGGACACCACCAGGGCATGGCAGGGAGTCTTACGTAGGCGGCGCTCATTAGACAATTCACAAACATCCATACGTACCCCGCGTTCAGTCTAGAAACCATGTTTGACATCATGTCTAAACCAATTCCCATGGCGGCGCTCGCTGGTGGAATGTTCGCGGTCCCATCTATGGCATTACTGATATCCGTCAACGCAGCCAATATAGAAGATAATACCTGTCATAAAATCAGCCCATGAACCCTATCTATTAGAATAATTACGAGGCCACTCACCATAAAAATGAAGGCGACCATTGTAAGTGCTGTAATTCGTCCGCCGAACCAGAGGACTTCCCCGTATGCCTAGTTCTTCGTTAGCCTCAATATGCTCGCGACTAAGAACAATAACCGCACAATGAGTATAATCGTCAGATTCTTGAAAATGGTATAAACGGGTATACTGAGGTATTGCTACGGTGAGGCTGTTAGCGCATGACGTACAACATCAAGAGTCTTATTCGGCAGAACTCACCAGACTTTTTGAACCGGTATAGATTACACTGACCAGCAGACAGCTGATGGGATACCATGTCTTGACATCTTGCATGTCGAAATCGCGAAAGGATATTATACCCGACTTCTTAGCTGCAATCACGCACGCAACACAGACTATACTCTGCATTGATAGCAGCAGAAAAGTCATGTTAAATTGACTCCCGGACACTACAAACTAAATCACGCTATCAGAAACCGAACACAATAAGAGGACGTTGTCTATGACCTTGTTCACGACTGTCATCATGATGGACGCTAGACAGTAGCATACTACAGAGGGAACTATACACCACCACGCAAATGAGCAAGCATTACACACAAAGCATAGCAGTAACTCACTAGCGGAGCTAGCATCTCCAGCATCTTTCTGGCTGCCGGTGGCTAAATTGCGCCGCAACTCTGCCAAATCTTGATCCTCTGAAGATTCCTTTGAGCTTCCCATGTGCACCTGAAGCCGAGTAGAGAGCTAAAAATGGAGTTTGTACTAGTAGAACCTAGTAAGTAAGTGGTCAGAGCCAGGGAACGAGGGGACAATGAAAGAATCGTAAGATGTTCAGAATAAAATGTTCTTTGCAGCTTGTGCAGCAGGCGAATTTCATCCCGCTATTACGTAATCCTTGGCACGTCCCAACTCGGAGCTCCGACTTTTAGTAACGCAACGTTCTTTCAGTCGAACATAGTTATAACATCGTCACAGTGGTCTGATGACATTCAATTGAATGACATACGAGTTGCGGACGGATTATATCACCTACCTCCTCGAAGAGCGTGGCATGCTCGGATGCAGTCCTCATCGCGCGCGCGAATGGCAGTCAACGCGGGAGACAATCTCTCGTGAGAAACATAACTGAAATTAGTTGAGACCGTCCTAAGGCGGCCCAGGCCCAAGAGGAAGTCAAACATATCATCCATTGATGGTACTGCTCCATTCTCCATGTTGACCCTTGCCAGTAGAGACCTTCTTGTCGGAGTCTGTACCACAACCCGAACCATCACTGCCTGCTCTTCGATGCATTCAATCTATCCTGCGAAGGCGAGACCTCCCGGGCCAATACAGTGAATTGTGGAACGCGCTCGACAACTACAGCTTGAAAAATACGATTCTTTAAAGGGGTCTCAATAACAAACCATTTTCGAATGTCAGCCTGAAGTTGAGTACCCATTCTATTGATTATATGTGTGCTGGCTCCTCTGGCTCGGCAATAAGTTCAGCGGCGACAGACGTATACAAGATAGACCACACATCAGGCCTCAGGCGCGAAGGCAAATATTTGCACCTACTGTGTTAGCGAGAATTCTCATAGCGTTCCACTCTGTCCGGGAAGGGGTCTGCTGTCTGCCCAACTGCACACACCACCTTCTTAGCTAGCGCGGGCCTGGCGGCTGCCGCATGAGGCATATTATTTGCCACCAGAGCAATATTCGCTGCCGGAGCGATATTTGCCGCCAGAGCGATATTTGCTCCAAGTCCATCGTTATCATAAAAACAACCAGACTGATCGATCATACATTGATATTCACACCACCATGGTTTCACGCCCCTTCCTGCAGAAAAGCGCCATCGCCATCAGCATCGCCAGCCTATTCTACAATATTGCAGAAGGCATCATCTCCGTGTTCTTTGGTGCAGAATCGTCCTCGCACTCTCTCATCTTCTTTGGTATTCAATCGGTAATCGAAGTGCTCTCGGCCTCACTCGTGGTTTGGAGATTTATGAACGGACTCAAAGCTGGTGAAGAAGGTGACGATGGATCTGAAGTCAGAATGAGCAAAGACCTGAGGTTTGCATGTTTTCCCCTCTGCCATCTTCGTTTGCCGACACACAACAGGATAGAGAGAATAGCAACCTTGGCTATAGGGATTCTCCTCGCGATGCTTGCCCTAGCAGCCGTAGGTACATCCATCGCCTCCCTCATCGCCCATGACCACCCCAGTCCATCCAACGCATCACTCATCATCGCTGCGAGTGCTGCCTTCATCATGTTCTTGTTCTGGGTACCGAAGCGCTACCTTGCAAAGGCGCTGAACTCCAGCACGATGAATGGCGAGGCACTTTGTACCTTGTCGTGCATACAGTTTAGCAGTGCGCTGCTGATTGGCTCCCTCGTATACCGTGTCTGGCGCGGTGGGTGGTGGGTCGACTCCGCGACTGTCATTGTGATTGCTATGCTTTTTGGTTGGGAGGGCTTTAAGATGATTAGGTGGGCAAGCAATGATAAATTCAATGGCAGCTGTTGTTGTGGACAGGAGGAACGGAAGGCAGATAAACAAGTCATGCCCGGAGTCATCATGATGCAGCAGCCCAATACAGCTCCCCAGCGCTGCTGTGGTGACTCTGGTTGTTGCAAGCCTTCACAAGAAAGTGGCGACAAAGTATAGTGTGTTCAGATCCCGTTTTCAAAACAGTTGGCACAGCCGCCGAAACGCCACTTTTTCAGCCTTTTCGAATACGTAGAATCAAACACTTGTTTCCCAACAACCACCGCTCCAAATGCTATGATTCTTTGATGATCTATTTTATGGTGCCTAGGGCATGCCAACAAAATGTGAGCAATTTGGCCGCTACTTCGGTATCAAGTTGTTTTCATGGTGTTACTTTCTGCCTTGCACAATTTTCCGGCAAGAACAACCAATCGTCTCCACCAACAGTCATTCAACGTTAACCAACTGTTCATTATCTATTGTCTCCCGAGGGCACACCAAAAAAATCGAGAGCTTTAGTGCGTGTGAGCTTGCCTCTCGTTTGTAATAACTCTCTATCTTCGACATAGCCAAAAGTCAAGCCCATCAGCGAGGATCTACGCTGGACTATTGTACGAATGGCTCGCCTGGTTGACCTGGATGCCATATCTATGTACGCTGATGTCAGCCGACGCTAAATACTTCGGATCCTAGCATTGTTCAGAGCTAGTACAGGCAAGGTAACGACAATGACAGACCGTCGTAGGATTGGTCGCCACCGTCATTTGACTTCCGAAGATGTTGCAGTGTGTACTGATCATTGCCTTGATACTTGAAACTAATTTATTGATTTCAACCGTTCTTACATGGATCTCTTTTGACAGCTACCTCGACGAACTCAGAGAAGAATTAGAGGAGATCTGTGGGGTGTCTGTCTCCATGCCCACAGTAATAATATTGTACAATAGATATTCAGAAATGCATGTAGAATATGAGACGGATAGGAATATACTACACCAGGTGACTCTTCCAGTAAAGGAGTTCTATACCACTGGAGTATGACGGAACTAAGCGATGGTCGGCATGATTTGATACCTTGCCGTCGCTGTCCACAACCATAGAAATCACGGATGTTGAATTGCGGTCAGGAATGTAGTGTGTGCCTTGTTCGGCCTTATTCGAGGGAATCCCATGACTACTGACAGTCTTAGCATGAATATACTTCCAATGAAGAAAATACCCACATCTCAGCCAGATGGTTCTGAATGAAAGTAAGTGACCGGGCATCGCGCACATGATGCTGGCACAAGGCACAATACACGATAGCATCTGCCTTCACAGTAGGTTTGGCTTCTTTTTCATAATGCTTGACATTTTCCAACTCCTCCCCCTCTATCAGTGTCCACTTGATCTCTTCAGGTTGCAGATCTCTGTGCAAGCGATAGCTGTGCATCACCTGTTACGACAAATCGATGAGCATGATCGCAAAATTTCGCAACAATTTCATTTACCGCCATATCCCATGTCATAACTACCTTGCTGCCCGGCGTGGAACACTTTCCGCATGCAAAGCGAGCATCCAGTTCATCCATGTGCTCTCGACGCGTAGTCTTGGGGTCAAGACTGGCAGCCTGAACGACAGCTGCAGTTCCCTCAAAAACACTAATCCGAGGAAGATGTCTAACGGCAGACCACATCCGGCACTCGAACTGTTTGACTTGTAGAAGGTAGACCTCGTCAAACAGCGTGACAGGTGCCGGGACGAAAAATCCAGGCCACGAGAGCACTTCAGGATACATCAGGAGACGACGATCACTGCCAGATTCCACAATAAATGTAGCAGTTGCCAACTGCAGGCAATCCGCATCCTCCTGTTTTCCACTATCACCCTCGCTTTCTGGACAGCGGATCAGATCTAGAAATTCGCGATCGATTTTGGCTCTCCAGGAGGATACGAAGTCCCGGAGTTGCTGAAAAGCAGAGACGAATGAAGTCGCGGTAATTGTGGCTGATTCAGGTGACATGATGAGAACTCTGAAGGGGTCGAATTCTGCAACATTGACGGCATGTGGCATCAGGTCAAATGCTGCGTCCGCGGGAGGGGGGTCCTGTAGGTACTTCTTGTATTCGTCCATCAGGATCTGGCGCCGAGGACCGTAGACTTTATCTTCTATGCGACGCATCCTGACCTTATCAAGCGCTGTAATCAAATCTGGGCGCATACGATCCCACGCTAGTAGCAAGAAGCTGTATACCTAGTTCTAACAATTTGACGACATACTCACATTTTTGATTAAGAGGTTTAGGTTCCTTGAATGATGTCCCCAGATGGTCTTCCAACCAAAATTTATTGACATAGTCCAACTCAGGCCTGTAGCCTGCTTCAGTGAGACGAGTCACGATACTATGTTTGCGCATCAGTCAAGGCTGGAACATACAAGAAAGGGGTAGCTGACGCACTCGTCCTGGCGAGCACGTCTAATGGCGTCAAGTTCAAGTTTACGAGAACTTGCGACATACTCTAACCACTGCTGACATCGCTCTGCATGCTGGAATGAAGATGTAATTGCATGACCCAAGTAAAACTAGTTCGACGACCTACTTTCATGACCTCAGCAGCATTTGTTCGCTTCTCACGCAACAAAGCTACCATCTCGTCTGCCGGTGTCTTCGAGAGCTCGGCACGTAGTTCATCAAGTGCCTTCTTGAGGAACAGCTGCTTGGGTCGGCCTGCAACACCGTAAGAAGACGAATGTGACAGTGATGCAAATCAAGGTAGGCCCACCCGTTCCGTATATAATGGCATGCGGTAAGTCATATGAATTGAAATTTACCGTCCATGGGAAGCGGCTTGCTGTACTCCACTGATCAAGAGTGCTATGCACAGCGTAAACAAAAGGGTTGACAAGCCTGAATCAAGATGACCAACTTTTCACCGATGCATCTGGGGCAGTATCGTGCCCGAAGTGGCCATAAAACAGATCGGACAACTCTGTCACAATCCTGTAATACATAGCGGTGAGCAAGGATTGCGGCACTTTCGGTAAAGCTCGTCGCACATGGCAATGAGGATAAAAAGCAAGATTTGCATACTGTGGTTCACTCATATCTTGAGGGCAATCGGGAAGGTCATCAACCTGAAGACGGGCAGTTCTCCAAACAGAAGCGGATGATCGCTGCAGCAATAAATTCCTGAAGTCCTTGCTGGTTCGGGATAGATTCAAAAGGTCCATTGGAGAGAGAAAACTGAGTATCTGTATAAGCTCACAGTGAGCCTTGCGTAAAAAATTTGTAGGCTTGAGCCTGACATGAAATAGAATATCCAAGTTCATGGTGGGCATTAGGTCGAGTCGTCCACGGCGCTTCAACTTCT